TGTGTCCTCCAATCTTCAAGTTGTTTGGCACAAATTGTCCTTCCTGGTCCAAATCCAGGATACACGATGAAATATTTATTCAATTTCATAATCTACATCACCTCCTCTTGTCAAAAGCTTTAAACATCTATTCCCCCATCACAAGGCCGTAATGGTTTACGTCAGACATCTATCATCGAACACTGTTTATCCGCGAGCCTAATGGGTACCATCAACTAGGCCTACACAAGAACACGCCACGTGAGTAGAATCTATCCGCCGGAGTCAGTGAAAGGGTTCTTCTAACAGACCTTTATTCTGAGGTCATACTTGTAAAAACGTGAATTATACCTACAACAGATGTGTCCTGCTAAAACCGAGACGTAGTATTTTTGTAGCTAGACTGTGACTTTGTTGTTTGCCCAGTGTGGTCTGTAAACTGGTGTTTAGGTTCGGGGCTGCTGTGACAACAACCTAGGAGAGGGACAGTGACCGCCGAATGACCCCGAGTTTTCTTTACTTTGTGTTTCTAATTCAATCCTCGTCGCCCCTGGTACCCAGAGTTCTGACGGTAAGGCGGCTAGTGTGGGGGAACGTTCAGTGGTTCCAAAGGCCTCGTGTAGGCTACAGAATGAAAGAAGAGAATGGCGGATAGGCCTCATATAGACAGATGGAAGTGAAACTCCAGACAAAAAGGACACATGTTGGTAGCCTATAGCCTACGGCTGGGTTATGTTGGTAAATATTATGTATTTTGAATTCAATTGCATACAGACCTAGCCTATATATCATAAACTGACATAGATATGGATAATAGCTTGCATCATAGAACTGCTGTAGAGCAGTTGCTAAAGATAACCTACGTTGACTATTAGTAGTGAAACACTAACCATAGTAATATCTGATAGTTTGTCCTAATATTGTAACCTTATTGCATGAAAATACATTGACAATTTAACCATGGACCAATTATGAAGCAATAAGATTACCGAATTAATGTTGCAAGAGCAACGTTTTATTTTGAAATAGTATTGGAAATTACATTTTCTGTTTTGGACATTTATTTTGGATAAAACTCGAACATTATAGTATAAATGTAATTCATTTTGAGATTCAAATTGTCAAACTAAAAATAAACAAATAAAACCGTGTTTGTGGACTAATACACTCGACTTTGGCCTATATACTCTGGCACAATTAGGTGGACATGTTTTACAATCACATACATGTATTTTCCAATAGGCCTGTGTTAATACATGTCGTTAATTCCCCGTGCTTCGTGCATTATTGGCGTTTTAAACAAGTCTACAGAAGTAATCGCCTTAATGATTTCGAAAGCACGGCCTGCACCCTGATGCAAAGGATATAGAGACTCGAGCTCTCTATCCTCATGGCAGACAGAAAATATAATACCAACGGTCATTTTGTAGATATTGATTACATTTCATGATTCGAAACCAAAACAAGGACCTAGGTTTATTTGAAAAGGATATTGGACAGATTTGTGGAATGAAATTTATGCAAAAGTATCTTGTGATCAATTGGCTTTACTGAAAATTATCTTACATTCTTCTATTATTTCAAATAAAAAATTTGAAGCAAGGAATATAATTGTATTTTAAATCATGTGAAACAATGAGCTTATTTTGGATATGTTACAGGCTCAACATTGGTGTAACATGTTGTCGTAATTTAACATTAAAATAGGCTATTCACTATGTAACATTCAGTGAAAACAATTGTCCTATTAGTAGGCAAAATTTTGAGCAGAGAAAACGAAAATGAAGTTAATTGACTATTGGGATCTTTTGGTCACATATGGACGGACCATTGTATCTAAAAATGTAAGGAGAATTGTGTATACGAAAATAGCATATATGTATATCTAAATACCATATATATTTCAACTGTGTATACAGCCTAGGGCCTAAACCATGGTAGACAGGCCTATGTTTGAAAGGGGCTAGATGACCGACAAACATGACTGGCCTGGTCTATCAACTAACACAAATACCAAACTCCCGATGAACACCGTTATGTATGACTATTTACACAGAAACACCCCTAGTATTCAGGAATGAGGGTGTCTTTTAGGATTTTACCCTTACAGAAAAGTAAAATGGAACAACAAAATGTCAATGTCAAATCAAACAATCCTTATTTTTTGTCCAAAATTAACCAGATGGTCGCCTAATTTCAAACCAATAAGGAAAATGTCTATCATTAGAAATAACTAAAAGTTTCCCAAACTCTCCACGGAATAAAAACAACAGCATCACTTACATATCTAGTCCAATCGGCCTCTGCTATCTCCTGGGAGCGCGAGCGAGCGGCCCATGCAGCCTGGCGAGGCCTCCTGCACAATAGCAGCTCTCTCAGGTGGATCCAAGGTAAAGGTGAACGTCGGTCATTAATCATGACTCAATTTCAACCTCGAGTTCTTCCGTTTTTGGCAGGATCGACTCCCACCCTGCACATGAAGAATTACAACATTAAAAGAAAGAGAATATATGCCAGCTAGCAGACATGTTTTACCTGAAAAGGGTAACGTGAAGTGTTCAAAAGAAGTAGCAATTCTTAAAATAAAAATCAGTCGTTTTAGACCAGTGTGCGAACTTGGTATTTTGTGGCAGCTTGAAACTGATCCAATTCCTACCAATCTTTGGCTTTGCCACTTTCCAACAGCAACTAACCAAATATTCATAAGATAAAAGAAAAGGGCAGATTAATTAAACTGTGGGTGTATTCGGTGCGAGAGTGGTGAGGGTGGTGAATTTACTTCCTGTTTTGGTTTATTTTCATATGTTTATTTTCCTCTATAGAAGCTATTGAAATGAGGAACAATAGAGGTGCTAGTACCATCCCACATGTATCCAAATAATACACACTAAACCCAGTCAACATTTGAAAAGATACAGGCCCGCTGTATTTGTATGACGCTGTATTTGTATGGTTGTTTGATTCAACATCGCTTATGGGAGCACAAGTAGGCCTACACTGTTTGTATTATTTGCATTATTTTGTGTGTGTGTTTTGTGTGTGTGTGTGTGTGTGTGTGTGTGGGTGTGTGTGTGTGTGTGTGTGTGCTGGTGTGTGTGTGTGTGCGTGCGGGGTGTGTGTGTGTGTGTGTGTGTGTGTGTTGGTGTGTGTGTGTGTGGGTGTGTGTGCGTGTGTGTGTGTGTTTGTGTGTGTGTGTGTGTGTGGTGTGTGTTGTGCGCGTCAGCTTGCTGACTTTATACTCACCAGTCATTATGACAGACATGCATCTTCCCGTATGACACCTTACAAGTAATGAATGAACATATTTATATTTCTCTGTATTTATTGGACATAGGCCTACATCCATCTAATAAATCAATGGACATAGGCAAACATCTGTCCTGCATTTTTCCTGCTCAATGTGGACAGGTGATCCGAAAGCACATGACTCCCATCGCACACGGTTGGTACTTGACACATGGTCTGGCACATTGCGATATTTTTACCTGTAAGTTGTGTACTGCCGCAGCCAAGTCACTGAGCATATTCAACCGTGGATCTGGAGCGTACTTTCTGACGCATCCTTTCCCAGCCTTATGCCGTCAGGTGGAGATGCCACACCTCTCTGGTACCTTGAGGAGCCTGACAGACACACCGAAATGACAGGGCCAGAGGGGCGCATCCTTGTCAATATCCTCCTCTCGATGTTTTAATCAATGGCCATTCTTTTGTCCCTTCAATAAGCCAGCAGCTCGATAAGGTAGTCATCGCGAATGCCACTGACGTCTGCGCTCTCATCCCCTCCGTGGATAAACATGCCTTTATTATGCCAATAATGCTTTAACCCATGGGACGGGAGTGCGCACGGCTGCATTCACTGAGAGCGTTTAAACTGGAACGCGTAAATCCCTATGCTGGAGAAATATTGGCGTTGGACTTTGGACATGAGAAACCTTAAGATATTGTATTGCGGTCGATCATTATAGTCGGGTCAGTCTCAGAGGCCTGTATACAGGTACACTTGCAATGCTATCATATAAGAATAATACTATTGTAGTAGCATCTATGGGCATATGGGTCATATCTTCCACTTTCTACAGGTCTCCTCTGACAGAAAAGGGCTCTCTTCCATTTTGATGAGAGATCCATATTTGAATGCTTGGTCATGCATGGCGAGACAAAAGGCCTATGAGCATCCTTTTAGCCACAAGAAACATACATCCAGAAAATGTCGTAGAGGCAAAAGCACTTTAATACACATATTTTGACCCGTAAACATCGCGCTGGAAAACACTTTACATGTGCTCTGCTCGAATAAATAGTAACAGACAAGCCTTATAAGACATATGTCATCATCGGTCTCCAAACTGATAAAACTCAGTGTCCAATCAAGTATAGGCTACATGAAAGCTTGGCGTATCATGCAAACCTCACACAATACATTCAGATTGACACTCGCGACACTAGGATAGTACAAACACAGGCCGGAAACACAGGTTTGAAAATGATTCAGGAGGTATTCTAAGAATGTGCCAGCAGTGATTCCACACATAAGGGTTCTCCTCGCTGATTGTGCGTAAAAAACAACTTCTAGTGCAAACTGTCTGTGTCAGTAGTGCTGCACTGTTTAATGAATCAATTTGGCACACATGAGGTATTTGTTTCGTTGTGCAGCTTGTGTAGGCTATAAATCCAGCTCGTAATGGAACAAAGGTACACTCTGCAGCGTTTGACTTGGGAAAGTATCCCATGTGCACTATGATTACTCTACACATTAATGTACAATTGGAATAGAAATCTGACAGATTTGAACTCACAACTCCATAAACTGGTCAGATATTTTACCCTGTTTAAACCACAAATTACAACACCATAGATTAACCACGTAGCCAGGACAATAGCCCAATGTCACCGTCTCAGTATCCCCCAAGTAGTGCATACATTTTTATATTTACCCTGTTCAAATTAATTGAACCTATCCGAGTTAGGACTTGTATATTATCTTTGGTATATGTATACCATTGCCACGCGGCAAGGGTTCTTTAGCTGGAGGAGTATGGGTCAACTCCAGAGGACACTGTTGAAGAGGCTGGAGATGGGGTGGAGGGGGCGGAGAGGGACTTCTCAGATCCGGCTGCTTTTTCCGGGCAGCTATCCCTCGGGTCTGACACGGCGGCATTGGTGGGAAGCAGGCATTCCTTCTCGCGCTTCTTCTGTTTCATCCGGCGGTTCTGGAACCAGATTTTGACCTGAGTCTCGTTCAGCTGAAGCGCTGCGGCGATCTCCACGCGCCGCGCGCGGGTCAAGTACTTGTTGAAGTGGAACTCCTTCTCAAGCTCGGTCAGTTGTTTGGTGGTGAAGTTGGTCCGGACGGTGTTGGGCTGCCCCCCATAGCCATACTCCCCTGATCTGCCTGTAGAGGAATGAAGGGAGAACATGAGGGCTACCTGGAGGTCAGGACTAAATAAAGGCTAAGGAAGTTGGAGAAGTGACACATTTCTTCCAACCCATGATCCTTGGAAATCGTGTGCCATGCACTCATGTTTGAATAGGTAGTGTCATTTTTACGCACAATGGTTTAAATCCACTTAAAATAACTAAAAGTAGTTCACATTTCTATGTTCAAATGCACAACACTGTAAACATTGCGTCAATTATTTTGTGACATTTTCATTTTTACGCATTTCCCTTTCATGCATGCACAATTCACTTACTTTGTATTCAACATTTTCCGGAAAGGCAAACAGTTCATCACTTTTTTCACAGTCAAATACACACGTCCTGGGTGGGTATTAGATGACCGCTTAGATTACCACTTTCTCCAACACCCCAAAATGATCCATACATGCAAGATATCACACCCAAGAGAAACCAGACACCAATAGCTTACCAGGCCTACAACTGGTAATTATATATGGCCCAACACTTTAACACGTGTGTTCAAAACACGTCATAAAGGAGAGTTTGGCCAACTTGAGAAGTGAATACCACAGAGCTGAATGCCATGTTGATGTATCTAAGAAGCGTTCCATAATGTCACTCACCATGCGCAATTTGGATATGATCTATGTGGCGTCAGAATGGCTGCCATGGCGTTGTGATGTTGTGCCAGCGGATCATTGTGAAATCATATCATATCTATTTCCACTCTGCACTTGGGTTACTTCCTCCAAAATCTGTCTTGACTACACCTGTTCCAATAATAACAGATGGCCAAACTATCTATTACTCACACTTTACAATAGGGTTTATGAGAGGTGTAACAGCCCTCTGCATTCGTCTGTCCCCTTATGCATGGTACGGCACCCACCTGTCTTGGGCGGGTTCCTCTTCACTTTCATCCAATCGAAGGTCTGTGCGTTGGAGGCGCTCTCGGAGGACAGGGGCGAGCAGCACGTGTCAAGGTGGGCCGCGTGCAGGGGTGACAGCGGGTTTGAGCACCCAGAGAAAGGAGGCAGGTTCGCCTGCTCATGCCCGCCACCGTAGGTGGCGTGAGCGTACTGGAGCTGACCCAGGGGCGCGCCACCGTAACCTTGGCGATGCTGCGGTACCATGGACGAGGAAATGTTGCCGGAGTACATTAATGGGGCGCACTGGGGGAACCCCGTGGCCGACTCCACTTCCTGGTTCAGTGCGTAATGGTTGTAGGTGGTACAGAAGCCCTGGGGTCCATAGCCCGAGGCGCAGGCCGGATGGGCCCCATAGGTTAAACCCAGAGAGCCAGTAGAAGTCTGGTAGGACCCCGTCTGGTGAGGGATGCCATCCGGGGAATCCCTACTAGGCATGAAGCGCTCATCCGTCCCACAGTTGTCCACGGTGACTGCGCAGGACTGGAATGTAGTAATTCCGTGGTCGGAGTGGAAAGCCCTGACTGAGCAGGACCCGCCGTCGCCGCTCATCACAGAGTAATCTAAGAAGCTGCTCATTGTAGCATCGTCTCAGCGGGACTGAGACCGTCCACAAAAGGCCCGGTCTTCTGATGAATCTCTCCTTGTCTCACCGTGGGTGACCGTGCCGCCTTACCGGTTCCCCGCCTTATCAGATAAGGGAGGGGGGCAACACAGGGCGATATCAATGAAACAGTGGGAGGTCACGTGGCCCGGGTCAGCCAGTAAGCTGCTCGGCCCTGTCCCCTTAGCTGTGACAGATTGGTGTCTGAGTGGGTATTTAAATTCCAAGCGCTCGTCGATCAAGGTGACGTGCTTCAGCACTAATGTATTGGCCGAGCAAACAATGAGCCGGGAAGCAGACAAGGTGGACAGCACTCAGGTCGCATGTAGAGCGGGGAACAGCAAATAAGGCATCCACTCTATAGCCTGCCCAGCTTGGATGACTGTCAGGATAATGGTTATAGTCTATCCGAAGACCCTCCAGGAAAATGACCTACTCTGTTTCTTCAGTATGCACGAGGTAAGGCGGCATTTCAAGATGAACACGGGGGATATGGAAATATAACTGAATGTATTGAGAGAGGGAGAGAGAGAGAGAGAGAGAGAGAGAGAGAGAGAGAGAGAGAGAGAGAGAGAGAGAGAGAGAGAGAGAGAGAAAGAAAGAAAGAAAGAAAGAAAGAAAGAAAGAAAGAAAGAAAGAAAGAAAGAAAGAAAGAAAGAAAGAAAGAAAGAAAGAAAGAAAGAAAGAAAGAAAGAAAGAAAGACAAAGAGAGTGTGTGTGTGCTTGCGTGTATGTGTGGGTATCAGTTAACATCATCAGCTGGTTGGCATGGAGACGTGAGTTTGGTGCACCCGGCACTCTCAACCGCACCTTACCATAACCGTGGCCCTATTCAAAAGGATTCAACGTGCATGATGTTATTTCACTAGATTGGGGTCTGTACATCACTTATGTATCGTTGATAGAGGGACAGAGGCATTGTAGGGTTTTGATTTATTTGAAGCAGGCTAGCTGAGCCATACGACTAGATTCGAAGACCACAGAGTTGACCAATCACAAAGAATTAAAGTGACACAATATTAATAGTGTTGCTCCAATGGCCAGTCTGCAGTGTAGGTTACTCTCGTTTTACGCCCACTACTTTTCATTATCAAGTGATCAGCTGATTTAATAATGGGAGGTCTGTGTTGTAAGGCTCCTACAGCCCGAGGAGAAACTGCTGCTTGATTATCCTGTTATGAGGCCGTTTGAGAAATTAATGGTGATGAAATATACTGTAGCAGAGAAAGGGTAAAATATAGGGAGACTGGTGCTCCCAGTCCTGGTGCTACTCTCTCTCAGTTCAATTCAAAGGGCTTTATTGACATGGGAAACATGTTTACATTGCCAAAACAAGTGGAATAGATAATAAACAAAAGAGAAATAAACAATCAGAAATGAATAGTAAACATTAGACTCAAATGTTATATTACTGGCTATGTACAGTGTTGTAACAATATTTACAATGGTGTATGTTCTTCACTGGTTGCCCTTTTCTTGTGTCAACAGGTGACAAATATTGCTGCTGTGATGGCACACAAAATCAGTTGCAAGCTAAACTGCATTATCATTATTATTATTATTGCACACAGAAAGGCACACATCACACTCACACATGAACAGAGAAAGCGAGAGAGAGGAGGAGGGGAGAGGGACAAGAGGGGGAGAGTGGTTTGCGCCCCTACTGGATGATAAGAGGACTGTATGGCCTAGTGGTGGTCATTCTTACAACAGCCTCTTTTCCTTCTCAGCAGTATTTTCCCCACGGTAGTCGCTTAGCTCACATTGAGCTTCAAGAGCAATACCCATATGAACGCAGATAGGTCCTATCTTACATTTAGAATAAAAACGGATCGACACTGAAAGACTAAGTCTAAGAAATGCAAGAAAGTACCATACTCCTTCCTTACTCTTCCATTTTCTCCCTTCCTCATCTCTTTCTCTCTCGCTACAACGGTGCATACAGCCTAGCGCGTGGGCGCAGCATTGAATCTCTTCGCCAGGCCATGGATGTTCCAGAATACCTTCCAGAATACGCTTTGTGCGAACATGGAATGCGGAGAGAAAAGGCGATTGTTTCGGAATTATTTCGTTACCAGCCTTTGGAAAGGAAAGCCCAAGTTGGGCCAGAGTTGTATAGCCTTATATAGCAGCTTTCCTTTTCGCATATGTAAATAGCCTATAGGCGTCCACGGCCTGTTTTTAGGAAGTTAAATATTGGCTAAACGTCACTCCACCACTACAGTTAAATGTAATAAGGCTATGCACTTAACTTTGCAATGATACGTTTTACGATCGATCCATGCTATGTAGCAACCGGTGGTTAGTATGCCCACAAGCATAAGCATGTTGAGTGAAATAATGATAACTACTAGCCCATTCCGAAATTATTACAGGAATGTAATATTTCTACCCAAATCTCACACAACTTGCACAGTGAAATGGGTAATACACGCATTTATCCAAGACTGTGGAGAAATATATTTCTGCAAGAACAAAAAAACAAGAACAAAAAAACATTTATAGCCGAAAGCCATTTTGCCCTAATAGGCTATTCTTATGAACATCTCAATTTAATCAAATGCATTTCTTGGCATAGGCCTACACTTCTCCCCAATCATTAAACGCTTTAGAGCTGTTTTTAGAAAATATAAAACGTATAAAATGAATACTAATGTATAGGCCTGCAGCAGCCTGTTTTGAATTAGGCTACTTATAGCACGAGGGGGGAGATACTTCTGCTGCCCGCTGCCCTGCACGCTTGGAGAGCCCACGCGCTGTGTTTGAACAGCTATAAAAATGAATTATTACCAAAAGCCTACAAAGCTTCCGACTTTTTTTGGCTTCGAATTGCGAATCCCACCCGAAAACATAGAGGGTTTTTATTTGTGCATTATACGTCACAATTGATCTCTTTGATGCCATTCTTATTCATGACGGAGTTTGATTTACGAGCTCGGAAAACATGGCTAGAGCATTTGCCTCCACATGCACGCAGCACTGGGAGCTCGCACTATAGGGAGCCATGCTATTGCTAGCCTACCATGTTTACAATTCTACTAACTTTACAACCAGAGAAAGTAAAAGAGGACATTTTATTCAAAATGATATAGTAGTAGTAGGTAAGCCTATATAATTTGTTGTATAATCGCCTCTGAGTTGCATGGAATTGGACCAGAAGCTGATATTTTTATTAAACAAATAGTTTGAACTAATATTAACTTCATTCTCGAATTTCACGGCTTTTTAAATCAGTGTAAAATAATGAAAAAGGTGCTAATTTGTAATTAACATAAACAGAATACAATGTCAATAGCTCTAAATTTGTGCATTAAGATTATTCAACTTCATAGATGAAGATTCGTGTATTTTTTTTTAAATCCCACTAAATGTTATGCTTACAATAGAATATAAACCAGGCATTAATTATAATAACTATAGGATTCATACTCAGAGATAAGGCTATATTGGCCTGCTTTCATCACACTATTTTGACTTGCAAATTAACGAGAGTAAATTTGTATTCAGGAACTAATAAAATTTCATCGATTGGTTATTTCTCCATTCTATTTTTTGGACAAAAATACATTTGATCCAAAATACACTTTACACTTCATAAAAAGGTTTGGATAATAATAATAACTCTACACAATTTTGCAATTTCCTTATGGCAAGTCAGATTTATTTCTAACAAAAATAGTAATGATATTGTAAGCTATACAAAAATAAAATGACCAGAATTCATACTATTGTGCACCTTCACATATATTGCATCTTCAGAAATCAATTTGTTATTGTAATTACAAGCCACAATTGTGTATTTGTCCAGAGTCTTACCTTGAATTAATCGACTAATCAATGAATCAATAAAAATGTGCCATCATATAGGCCTAAAACAACCACCTAAATTAAATGAATAGTTAATACCAGAGTTTGAATTCTTTAAATGTTCCGGTTTGAAAGTCTTGTTGTATTTTTGATTTATGTCAATAGCTCAGATGTTGCAAGTCGATTGTAGTTAGTGACTCCGAGAAAAAGTAGAAGCTGTCCGTAGATATGTCCAGATTGTCCACGGGGCTGTCCAGGGATTCTGACAAACTGGGCGAAGCGGCATCGGAGAGTTGAAGGCAAGAATCCGAGGAGAATACTTGGAAGTCGTGTATTGAGACATCCAGGGCCGCGGGACTACCGCCATTGTCCGGGCCAGTTGCAGAGCCGGGGCCTATTGTTGACACGCAGCCTGGAACAGTGGGTGACGGGTTGAGAAAATGTTTCAGATTTTTGTCATTGCTGCTCAGTGGCGACACTGTATAACTCTGGGCCTCACCATTGTGCGGGCCAACATTCTGTAGCTGCTGGGAAGAACTCAGCGAGTTATGCTGAAAGGAGCAGGCCTCTCTTTCCATAAGGGCCCCGGTCACTGTATTGAGGCTCTGCTCAAACAGCGACCCATCATCCTCCTCGTCGTCGCTCTGGATCCCGACCCCGGTGCTCGGCCCTTTCCCCTCACCGTTGTGGTTCTCCTTGCACTGGGTCTGCCTCTTGTGCTTCATCCGGCGGTTCTGGAACCACACTTTGACCTGCCGCTCGGTGAGGTCCAGCAGGGCGGCTATCTCCACCCTCCTCGGTCTGCACAGATACTTGTTGAAGTGGAACTCCTTCTCCAGCTCCAGGAGCTGTGTGTTGGTGTATGCAGTCCTCAACCGCCGGGAGCCCCCTCCTCCACTCTCTAGAACCTCAGGGGAGCCTGAAACAGCAGCACATAAACCATAAGATTAAGAAGCATTACAGCATGAGCAACAATGACTTGATAATGCAGATATTACGCCCGAATAGACACAAATCACCAGAGAGTAAGTAGCCTATTCAACAGAGTGGCTACTTCAGCAAAATGGCCGCTCATTCAGAACAGCACCCAATGCATCCCTTTACCCACAAATATTCTTGCAATACGGATATTGACATATAAACGCACACTTTTAGACTAAGTCCTATAGTGCATCATATATACCTAATTTCCCTCAAAACAGCAGTGAGAGAGAGAGAGAGAGAGAGAGAGAGAGAGAGAGAGAGAGAGAGAGAGAGAGAGAGCCGTAGTGTGGTCCAGGCTGGTGTAGGCTGGCTGCTATACTAATGAATGCGCCAGCTGCCCCGCACGGCAACACTAGTCCATCACTCTTCATTACTGTCACACATCAAAACTCTGGCACTGCTCGGCGAGGAAGGGCAGCGTGGAAATCAAATACATAATTTTACATTACTTACCTTTGCCCAAACTTTTAGGAGGACTAGAGGAAAAATATGGAGAACCCAACGCGTAATTGTGCACAGGAGATTAATTTCGAATATGCTCTGCAACTTGGTAATGACTAGCCTATTTCCCACTCCTTCAGGTGCTTAGAACATGCATTCTGCATAAAAATGTCGGCACTCTAAATTACCCCATAAAAACCACCCACCTTTCGGGGAGAAGCATACAGGTCCACTCGTTATGGCCGTCGCTGTGGAAGTCCGCAGGTGATTCTTCTTGGAGGCTTTCTTCTCCCGCATCCAGGGGTATTCCGGGGGTAGGGAGGCGGTGGGCAGCGGGATGCATCCATCAGGGCTGAGTCTGGGCCGGCTGTGCCTCGGGTGGCTTCCCGGGTTGAGGCTGGGAATGGTCTGCTCAAAAGGAGGAGGAATCAGTGTCGAGCGTGAAAGCGTCGATCTCTTGATTGATGAACTTTGAAATGAATCACCGACAGGGGGGAAAGATGTCAGGCACTCAGCAAGCGACGGCTGACTATTGATAAAACCACTCTCTCGCTCGAATTCGTAATTCATCTCCGCTCACTGAGAGCCGAGGAAAGTTTGCTGTGTGTATTTTTATATGTCGCGGCTCAATAAGAAATACATACTTTTTTCTAATTCACTGATTACGGCCGTATGGTGAACGAGCTGCTATTAAACTATTGAATTCATGGAGACAAGGTTGAAATTGGAACGAACTGCCTGTCACATGATTACTTCTGCCCAATGACAATTTGACGTTTAATCAAAAGAAGCCACAGTCTGCTTGGTTGATCTAAAAACTCTGGTAAAGAACGCCTCGTCTATGTTGGGAAGGCTGTTTTAATTTACACCTTTTTATCGTCCCCTAGCCCCCCAGTCAACTCCACTAAGCTATAAATGTGTTTTTAGAATGGCCACCTGCGCGCTGTGACAGGGAAGTAGCTACAGTGCACTTGCTCGTGCACTCTTCTTTTCTCGTGTTGAGTATGTCAATAGAGAACGCCCCGTGCCACACAAATCACGACAGTAGCTTCACGCCATGCCTGCGGTCATTAGCAAAGTTAGCCATTCATGTAGAGTTCAGTCAGGGAAAACACACCTCAAAAACGAATACTGAGAGCTCCTGACAGCAACAAACCCCAACAATCCAATGTGTTCCAAAGCGATAGAGCTAACCATATAGATTGTGTTCATAGACTTTCTGTTCAATACAAGCATATTGTCCTCTGTAGCTCAGTTGGTAGAGCATGGCGCTTGCAACGCCAGGGTTGTGGGTTCGTTTCCCACGGGGGGCCAGTATGAAAAATGTATGCACTCACTAACTGTAAGTCGCTCTGGATAAGAGAGTCTGCTAAATGACTAAAATGTAAAATCTATACAGGCAAGGCGCATACGTAGATACACACAACTGGGAACTTAGAGTCATACTTATTGTGGCTAATGCACACTACGATGCCATGTTAGTGTCACCCACTTGTATGCAATACATTTATTACACATGAAGAAGTGAAATATTGTGCATAACACCCAAATACCCAATTAGCCTACACAAACACACACACACACTATACAAGTGGTGTATCCGCCACTCAGCCTCCTGAGTGGCGCATGGTCTAAGGCACTGCATCACAGTGCTAACTGTGCCACTAGAGATCCTGGTTCGAATCCAGGCTCTGTCGCAGCCGGCCGCGACCGGGAGACTCATGGGTGGCGCACAATTGGCCCAGCGTCGTCCAGGGTAGGGGAGGGAATGGCCGGCAGGGATGTAGCTCAGTTGATAGAGCATGGCGTTTGCAACGCCAGGGTTGTGGGTTCAATTCCCACGGGGGGCCAGTATATATAAAAATAAAAATAAAAATAAAAATATGTATTCACTAACTGTAAGTCGCTCTGGATAAGAGCGTCTGCTAAATGACAAAAAAATGTAAAAAAAATATTAGCAATCGAATGTTATACAATGATATCAACCTAATACAAAAAAATAGCTAAACAAGGATTTCAAATGTCAAATCCAGCCAATTGTGCATCTACATACTAATCATGTTCTGCTTCACTTTAGTCTGCAATGCTTTGGGAACCGTTACTCGTTCTCCGTCTTTAGAAAAGTCAGCACTTACAGTACTCTGCATAAGTCACTCTGCATAGTACTACCGGGTTCACTAAAGTAAGGTTGACCGATATTTAAAAAATAATACGTTTAGGGTGAAAATCCAGTCTGCTCTTCATGCTGCTTCTCAGGGGCTTTTCCCCCTGACACGGGAGGTCACAGCAGGCGTCTGAGCCTAGGTGTGGTGGCTGGACAAGGGCAAAAATTGAGAAAATGATCCTTTACATTTAAACATTTTTCCCCAAACATTTATAATACCCCTTTGTGCTATTGCACAGTATAAACCAAACCTGCCATTGGAATAGGTCGTTTTAACGAATACATTGCAGGGAGATTCTGTAGAAGGAAATGTGTATCGACTGAGCAGCTCCCACAGTGTTTGGTTATGTGCCCGTCCAGTACAATCTGTGAAAGCCACATTTTGGATGTTTTTGGTCAAACAGCCAGGAAGTAGCTACGTTGTATTCTTCAGAAAAAAACTCGAATAGTGAGTTGGAGAGAGGAGGAAAATAAGTGGTAGGCCTCGCTCAGTTTATTGCTTATATACCAAACAAAGAAACCTGGAAGCCTGCGCGCGATCAATCTTACTTGCCAAAAGGTCTGACAGCTCCGTGCCCTCAGAACACATTTAAGGCTTCTAACTCTCCCCTGGATCAAATGCAGCCAGGAAGCGGCGAGAAACACTGGCCACTCAGATTAGAACACGTTTATGTTTGCAGACACAGCTTTTCTGTCGTTTAAGGTGTGTTTTAAGACATTAAAAATACAAGAATAATGTAGCAGATGGGCGATAATGCGCGTAAACGGTGAGTAGGCTCAACCAACATCTCCATTGCATTTTTCTTTCTGGAATTTATTTTTTCGTGTTTACAAAACGTCCATATTTTCGTTGGAGCAAACATTTGGGTTTGTTGGAGGTGAGGAGAGTATGTAAAGGACGGGGCTGCTGAGGAGGAGACGGATGGCTTTTGGGAATTACTTATAGGCTTTGTCTGCAAGGCAAGGAGTGGGTGGCGGCTTTCTGTGAACCCTACTCCGACCTACACACTTTTTTTTACAGGGGGATTCTGGGGGAATGATTTAGGACCCCTTTCCCACGGATGGAAATACAATGAACAAAAATTCATTTTTTCAACCCAAACCCTTATTTATGGTGCGTTAAAATCTCCTACATATGAGTGAAATCAATGTTGTGTGTGTGTGTGTGTGTGTGTGTGTGTGTGTGTTTTGGATCCAGAGCTGCTCAGTCTATGCTGACAGACCATGGTTCAATTGTTCTAGGTTCCCCTGCTAACCATATGTCAGGATCATAGAGCCCTTGCCCTGTAATATCAGTCATTTTGTCATCATTCTAAAGGAAATAAATTCGAGTACAGCTTTTGTAAAACTTTTCAATTATCCTGAAATGCATTTGAGGGGAAACTATAAATTTACTACTACAGTAAAAATGGTGTCTTCGATTATTGGTAGTGAAATAGTGAGTGCACAATGCATGCCATTGAATGCTGCATCGTGTTCTGCATTATTGGTCTGTATTGACCTGCTTTATATAATTAATCAATATGCTCTCTGAATTATGTTTGAAAATCAAAACTTGAATGTAGTCCAATTAATTCAATAGAAAATACGTGTGCTTTCTTTTTCAGACATGTGTGAATTCAATTTGGGCGTGCCACAACAAAGAAAACTGAAGTACACATTCCCAAAAGCTAGTCTTAAGAGAGACATACACAAACTATAATGTTCATACTTGTTTTTACACAATTGCACAATATTAACAGCTGAGATTATGTTGAATACTTTTTGCTTCTTCTAAACATCTGTAATTGTTATTGTGTGCAGCGATAGCATATAAGTCAAATATTCATACGTCCTGTATTACACCCCCTTCATTAAGTCTCGTTTACATAATTTACATGTGTAAATAGCTATAATTATGAGTTTAACAGGCCATTTTATGCATTCTATAGCGCCATAATACATTTGAAACATGCAGGCCTATAGGCCTATCAACAAACTTTTCCCCCCTAACGGTTTTTCATTTAACCTATTTTATCCTAACAGATACTGCAGAAGCTCCTCGTGACACTTTTATTATTATGGATGTGCCCACGCGGATTAGGAGCGGGAACAAGGCCACCCCAAGAGCTTCTGAGTTGCCTTCGCCCTAGAGGAAACAAAACAAGAGGCCTACAATGTTTTCGTGATTTATTGTCACTATAAATTAAATACGATGTTATAGATTATTAATGTTATTACAGATTATGAGATAATGGGGATTCATTTGTTTTTATGAAATAGCATACCCTCTAAAGTCCTACCAGCTTTTTCCGTCCTCACAAATATGTCTGTTTATGGGATATTAAGGTGTTTATTATTATTATTATTATTATTAGTATTCCTTCCTTATTGTACTTTGTGCCATTATGTTCTATGTTCAAATTCCCTCGAAATTAAGGTTGAAATATACATTTATATTGAAATTCATGTATTTATTTATTTATTCGAACTGGAGCAGCATGGAATGTATGAAATTGAAACAGAAACTTGGTAATATCTCAAATAAAATGTTTTTTTAAAACTAATTATAATGTCTGTTCTTCCTTCCAACCTTATTGCATGATTGCGTGATTTACATTCGTAAAGAAATAAAATACCTCCTCGAAGAAAAATAACACCAACATATAATGTGCTGCTGAGAGTCTGTGTCTGCCGTCAGGTAAGGGGTAGAACTAGAGCCGAGGTCTGTTTCCAATAACCATCTCCCCACATACAAAGAGCACAGGGTGGTTAAATAATACTAATGAACTCCATATTACGTCAGAACAAACATAAATAAAATGTTGAAAGTCCAACAGAACACAAGCTGGGTAGGTCGTAGGCTGGAGCTTCCAGACCTTCCTTTGCGTGTGTGTCTCAAAAAACCCCGCACATGATTCCTATAAGGATCCTTCCACAAGTGCAACAAAATGCAAAACAATAACACAAAAACATATATTCAACTGCGGATAAATTAAAAAAATTCACATTCAAAAGAATACCATAATATTTGATCATATACCCTGTTTGATTTTTGTTTTTAGAAACAAGTTAAAGATTAAATAGGTCTACGCATATGTGCCCCCGCGCTTGTCATATCAGATAATAGGTCTGTGTGGAACAATAACGCCATAGCAAATAGACAGAACATTTTAAGCAAGAGTGATTACTTTCCTATCCTACTTCACACATTCAACTATATAAAAAACAGAACCTAAAACAAAGAAAAGGTGGAAGAAGCTACTGAAGAAGAGAAGAAACAAAGCGATGGTAGGTCTGGAGGGGACTGATCCGGGGTGCATCCCGGCTACAGATGCGTAAGTTTGGGCGCTTCCTGAATTCTTCCCTGAGAGTAGTGCGGCGTAAGGTCTGTGTACGTCGGGTTTGGATCACACACTCCGTGATGGTGACTATTGCCCATAGTGATTGCTCCATTGTAGTCCATGTGTGTGGACCGTGGGTGCGAGAGATGGGTCAGGCCGAAAACGGAAGCCCCGTTGTTGGGCATCGAATCGATGTAGCCTCCGCTTACATATACAGGGCTGCCCTGCTGCAAGTGCGCCACATAACCGCCATTGCCTTGGAGAGGATGCGCGTCATACTCGGGCGTGGGCGAGCCGCTAGTCCCGGGATACCTCTTCTGAGAGGGTGGGCAGTTGTTTAGGGAGCTGTTCAAGGGAGGGGGATATGACGTGGGCATACCGTATGCATTATGAGGGGGCTTATTGTAAGACGTTGGCGACTGGGACTCATAGGGGACACTGTTAACCAGAGAATGCATAGAGTTGAGGTATCCTCCACCCCCGCTACTGGGAGATGGACCGAGGGGGCTCCGAGGGGACTGTCCCCCGGGAGAGTGCATCATGCCGCACCCTTTCTGATCCTTTTTGTACTTCATCCTGCGGTTCTGGAACCAGATCTTAATCTGCCTCTCCGTGAGGTTGAGCAGGTTAGCCATCTCGACCCTGCGGGGTCTGCAGAGGTAACGGTTGAAGTGGAACTCCTTCTCCAGTTCCACAAGTTGTGCGCTGGTATAAGCCGTCCGGGCTCTCTTCGACGCGGCTGACCCACCCGGGGGGCTCTTGTCTCCAGGGCAACTCTCAACTGGCGGAAGGGGAAAAGGAAGGCAGTCAATCAGTAACCAACCTCAGCAGCAAACACAAGAACAAGACCCACAGAGTGGCAAGATACATATAGCTGATAACACGTCTCTCCATATGGACCCGACCCAAATACACATATCATTAAGAGTTCTACAAATGCAGATAAAACAGAGATGTCCCAATAGACTGTGGATGTTACTAATTTACTTATATCAGACATATCCTTAACTATAACTGTATACATACTGAGAACAGCGCTTAACTGTTAGCTATGCTTTACATAAAAGCCTATGCCTTCTCGCCATGCCTTCTCCTATGAGTCTCACCATGCTGAATGGCTGGGGCTCAGCCGCTGCACAGCGAGGTGTTGGTCTAGTTACCGTTTGTGGCATGCTGCCAATACCTAATAAATGGTTAGTCTAGCTACTGTACAGCCAGAGGCTGGGTGAGATGAATGTAGCATGACATCATGTTCCTACTGGGAACAGACATCAGTTGAAAGTTTAGTTTTGATTGAGTTGTCGACTACATTTGATTGAGTTGTCAACTAACTTGAATTAAACATGAAATCAACCAAAAATGTCACCCTGTCATTGGATTTAGGTTCAAAGTTGGGTGAAAAAAATACGAAATTCCCTTATGTTGATAACTTTTTGCAAATCCAACCAGTTTTCCACTTTGATTCAATGTCATTACATTGAAATTGTTGGTTGAAATGATGTGGAAACAACTTTGATTCAACCAGTTTTTGACCAGTGGGTTATGAATTAGCTTTTTGCTTTATAAATGGGGAGAGACATATTTTCACCATCTTGGTTTCAGAAATTAGGCTACTATGGTGCTGCTTCCTGGACTCCAGGAAGAGTAGCTGATGTTTTAGCAGTATGGGGATCCTAATAAAATACTTTCAAAAAGTAGGAAACATGCTATAGTCATTCTATAATCCAAATAATCATAATTATCCATATATATAAATGTAGTAATTCTACTGTTTCAAACATGAGCTACTGTTGAGGGTTCTGTGATTGGAATTATTGGCATACCTGTGTGTAAAAAGCCAACTGTGTGCATAAATTACGTTAAAAAGCACTAATACCACATTTTAAATACCAAGATTTAGACTAAGACCTCTATTTAATCAGATCTGCTTTAGCCGACATCCGCATAGTGGTTGTTTTGACGTGTCAGAGGTGGAACTGTGTTAGAGCTGTCAAATCCACAAGCAGCTCCTGGTATTATACCTAAAGCAGACATTGCCATTGGCTGCACTGGAGTCACATTAAGAGAAATCCCATGAAGCCTTGTTTACAAGTTCCACCACAGGAATGTGAGATGTAATCTACACCTGATTAGGATGATAGAAATCCTAATTATTTTGCTTCATGATTTTTCAATTTAGCATAATTATTTCTATATAGCCTACACTTTCTGGTTCTGAACTTCTAACAGGAGTGGGGCGGGTGTGGCTTAGTGACAATGATTGCAAGAGCAGCTGCTCACCGATTTGACTGCTCCAATGCAGTTCCACCTCTGACACCGCCAAAACATCCATCCGCTATGCGGGTGTCTTCTATAACCGGTTAAAGCTTGATCTGATTGAATCTAGGCCTAGGGTTTGAAATAGTCCCTTTGCCATTAATTTGGCAGATATCCTGACAGACTCGTGATAAATGTGATTCACTAGACCTTCTAGATGCCCCACTTATTTCACTTCTCACCAAACATATTCCCAAACGGTGGACATAAATAGGCCTACTATAGCCTATGGAGACGATATGATTTGGTAAGGCCATGGGAATGTAAGAGTCTTTGAACTTTGGGTTACATGTTGGTAAACAACTTCCTCCCCATCCCCTGGCTCTTCCTGTAATCAAAACAAGGGAACAAATTGGAACAACTGTTTTTGCGTGTTTGTTTGTTGTCCTGCACAAAACGTTATGTGATCCGGGCCAACATGTGATGTTTATTCTAGCATCAAGTCAATGCTAGAGCATCCGGACAACAAACGATGTATGGAGCAAGGCCTAAAACTATGAGGAATGAGTATTTCTAAAGAACAGGCCTACATCATAATATATAATAAAGGATGCGTTATATATCAACAAATTGAGATAGCATTGGAGTATAGCTAATAGGCCTACGGAATGCATAATGATGGAAGAACCATATGACATCACAGGAGTGTATTTGTAATAGGCCTAGATTATGATAGATAATAAGGAATACATCACAATGGTAGAACAATACTTCGTTCAATTGTGAGGCAAAAGTTTGAGAATGTAAATGTATGCAGCATAATCAAACCTTTTAGTGTAACCTTGGTTGGTTCTTCTGTTTATAATAATGAGGTTATTTTATCACGTGTTTCATCAGCAGTACCTGAGCTGGAGCTATTGGTTTTAGGCTTCTGGTTCTGACGGGACTCTTTCATCCATGGGAAGATGTGCTTCCGGGTGGTGGAGGTAGGCGAGCCATGTACCGAGCCATTTGAGTTGGCTTGACTGAAGCCGTTGCTTGTGTTCTGGTTGAGAGAACTGGGGGACTGTGACTGGGGATGGGGTGGCGGGACAGACACCGAGACCTGTGGTTGATTGCTGTCGGTGAGGACGGGTGGCTGCGCCGCCTGGTTGTCCTTACTCCTATCGCAGCTCTCTGCTATCTCCCCCGGCTTCTGCAGTGCGACCGAGCCGTCTGGGGACTGCAGGGAGCAGGCGGGTCGATGGTACTCACTTTCCACATGAGAGGCCCGGGGATATTGGACCTGATTGGCGTCATAACTGAAGCTATTTGCGCTTTGATACGGGAAGCCACTGTAAATTGCGGAGCTGTCGTAGTAGGTTGCCTTTTGCATCTCGCCGTTTCCCAATATTTATTTCAGAAACTGACAGGGTCTTGACACCCTTGTAGAATAACATTGGCACCCCTTTGTCACGTGACGCCTCTCCGCCAATGGCCTCCTCGGGTGAACCTAGGGTTACAAGAAGCACGGTGAGGAGAAGAAATGGTGGCGATCCATCTTACTTTTCAATACAGAGCTGACACCAGCGACTATGGAGGCAGGATAGGGACAACAGTTCTCTGGCTATTATCGTTTACCTTCTGGTTAACAATACAGGGCATAAAAGCATGCACAAACCTCATATCACCATCTGCACTTATGGCACACCAACTGTATCAAAATAAATAATTTTATAAAAGCATATACTCAATTGTGCCATATTAATATTGGTGCCAAAATTAAATGAGAAAAGACAGTTTCACAGGTTAGTTATAAAACAACAAACGATCGGCCTATGTTGTGCACTTGGTCTGAAGGCTGTTATAATCAGGTTATTATTAGGCTTTATTATATTACATGTATTATTATTATTATTGTTATTATTATTTGATGGATAAAATACACCTCAAATCTCCCATAGGCCTAATCTTTAGATGGAATAGGCGGGCCAGCCTTCAACGCGGTGTGCTATATTCTACCCCAGCCCAACCACCTGGCTAAAGTCTCTGTCTGGGCTAAAAGCATAAACAACCACATTCCCCATTTTTTGGGGGAACCAAGATGGATGACAGGGCTATGAGGAAACCTGAAAAACCGGGCGGGCATTCGCGCATCTCCATGACCACGACGTGAACTTTACCTCACAGGCCTGTAATAATGGCTCCTGTCGGCGCGGACGCCCGTCCCGGTGATGTATGGGGGTCAGTAGGCCGGGACGGGATGGCGCGCTGAAGAAAGCGTCCCGGTGAACAGCTAGGCTATGGCTCGATCAGGCAGACAGAGATCCGGGATGTAGCCTGCAACTATAGGGTTACTAGCCTACTACATGGCTACTCAAGGAAGTAGCCTAGCTATTGTGGCTCCATGAGTAGGAATGCTCAACCACTGCTAGCAGTCTACTCACTGAGGTAGGCAAACTGGGGTCATATCCAACGCGAAGTTATTGCAATACTATCCAATTGAATTGATAGGTATTTATTTTAGATATTCGATGTGGGCAAATGGGTACAATACATACGTTTGTGAAATAAAATAGTTGGGTTTTCGTTAGAGGGATTTTAGGCTTAATTTGTGAAGCATTGTAGTGTTAATAAAGTAGGAGCTATAGGCTAAAGCTATTGTCACAGCCGCTATAACGGCACCCCAATGGAAATGATGTTTATAATCAAACGAGTAATTCGATGCAGCAGTATCAAGTAACAAACAAACTATTTCAGATTTGAAGCTAATTTCATAGCTAATGGCGACTGGGATATGTTAATAGGCTGTTTAATGTAGGCTATTGTGTAAACCTAAATGAAAATATGAACATATTGTGTAGCATAGTTATGGCAGTCCAAAGGGCAGTTAATTCAAATAAATTACTGAATTTATTCATGATAAAACGGTGGAAGTGGAGAAGGTTTGTGATGATTTCTATTAATTATATTTCTATTCAAAATAAATATATTACTACTCTATTAGGCTACTACAATGTAGAACTAACTGTGGGCAATAGTAATAATAGTGATATTAATAAATAAATAATGTCAATCATAAACATGAGCATTATATTAATATACGATGACCTATAAGTTATTATAAAATAATAGAAAATTGATAGATAATTCGTCAACTGCTGCTCGTTACAGCACAATGCACCACGACAAGCAAAAACTGTCTGAAAACCAGACCCCTTGCTCTCAACACACCGTAGAATGAAAATGAATATCACATCCCATCACCACATCTGCTTTTAAAGCCATGATCTGGGAAACATATCAGAACGCTTTTTGATGAATTTCCAAAAGAAATAGTCCGGTACAAAAAAAGAGAAGACAGAGAGAAGACAGACTCGAGCCTTCGAATGCTCAGCCCCCCGCTCCGCGCTACAGAGAAATCTGGCTGCTTGTATTGTGTGTGAACTCTTCCTGAACCGAGATGTAAGTCATACAGTGATAAATCACCGCGCGACACAAACTCCGCCATTTACAACCGAGAGAGATTTCTGGCCTGCTTACCTTATCCTCTGACGACGAATGCAGAGCGCAACGCAATGTTTCTCATTCAACGACTAAATCGATCAGAACAGTAGTCCAGAGAAAAAGTTTAGCTAGGGTAGAAGCAGCAGCACCAGCCTGCACCTAGCTCACACAGAACTCATCGGCCACAACAAAAAAGGGAAGAGGCGAGTGGCTCTGTGTGTAGAAGGAACGAACTCCCGTGGATGGGTAAACCGAGATTACGAAAGCAGGCGCGAGCACACGGGTCGCCCAGATAAGCGCTATCTGCCCTCACTGTTGAATTTATCACATGCTAGAGCAGTGCCCATGCCTCATACCAATATTAAACCTAGGCTATGCTGGAGTATGTATACAAGTGCGTGCACAAGTACCATGCAGACATCACCAGACCAGTGAACTCCCCCGAAACATAGCGTCACCACAGACAAGAACATTTATGCAAATGGTTTTTGCGCCTTGAACACAGAAAGCCACTTCAAATCGTGTGGCCCTCCTCCCCCACGCGATGAAGTAGTATGGTTGGGGGGAAATAGCATTACAAAAACCACGAACACCCAGCCCCTAAGTGTTTTATGGCATTTGTTGTTATTTATTCCACACAGAATCGAATAACATAAGTACACAGCTTTTCGCAGCACAGCAGATGACAACGGCACATTACCATTACTATGAGAGGGATAAAGGGAGTCCTTAATCATTAACCAACACGTTTGCATTTTATGTAGCCTATCAAGCCTTTCGTTTACGAATGGTGCTGGGAGTTTTGGTTATTTTCATTGCAATATTCGACTAATCTCAAAATTCCTAGGATGGAATAGGTCTGTTTCCTGAATGGTATGAAAATAATTAAACGATGCGTTTATGAACTGGGGAGGCCGCAGATCAAAGCCAAGGGAAAGACCCCCATCGGGCTCTGGGTGAGAAAAATTGAAAGAAGTTACACCTCCAAAAGGGAAAACAGAGGAGGGAGACTAGAGAAACAGGCGAAGAAAGAAACCGAGAGCATGGGAAATCCCTCTGCATGTGAATGGTGTCGTTTGCGGCCAAGGCAAAAATATATATGTCCTCTTGCATCTCTAGGCAGTAAACACGTCTTGAGCATTGCTTCTTTGGTCGTCTGAGGCCGCAGGATGGATGAATGGAAGGACAGATTCAGCCACACAAAAAATGTATATAGGCTAGAACATTCGGACGGCGTGGGAGGGTGAGTGGGACAAAAATTCACGTGTGAGGATATTTTTTTGCAAACATTGCCTTTCTTTTGACTTGGTATAATTATATTCTCCTTTGTGTTTTGCCGAGATGCTGATTCGTGATTTTCCTTAATTTGGGCCCTAACTACCGGGCTGGATGTCATGTAGATAGTGGGAACAGAAGGCAGATTGATATTAATACAAAAAGGACGAACGCAACCCACCAAACATTGTTGGGCTTTTTTACAGTACAATGTTGCTAGGTTTACAGCAAGTTAAGTGTAGTCTATAGCCTACGCCTAGGCTGATGGTTTTCAGAGATTTTTTAAAGGAGCAAGGCACGGCTCCGAGAGGTGCGATTCCCCCCAACGTTTTTATAGTGACAGATTACACTACAAAAGACATGTGGAAGAGAACGAATTATTGCTCTCAGGCGTTTCATATCACCACTACAAGCTGTAGGAAGTGTAAGCTACAGGCTATGGCTGTGTGTGTGTGTGATAAAAGTCTGTGTGTGAGAGTGCTGGAGTAGGCGTCTATGTGCTGCTTATTATAATTGAATAAGGATATGGCCATCAAGCATTTCTAACAGAAATCGATAAGGACATAATACGGACTTACCGATGGCAGGGCAGGATCTCGTGAAGACCGTAGGATGGATGGGATTTATTTAGGCAGAATTCTGAAAGAAAATGTTTAATGAACGTTACTAGAGCCAACCTGTTTTCCCTAATAAACCTACAGGTCCAGTATTCCACCTAACATTTAAATGCGAAGTTCATATCAATAAGAACAATATGTATGCTATAGTAGCTTCCTACCATATTTTATAAGATAGTCATTAATTAAATTAAGTAACAATACATCAATTTATGGATATTTGGATAAGAGGAATTAATTTTGAGCAATAAATTCCTCCAACATTAACTGACAAAATCAGTCACGCAAATTCACCAAATTTCGATAGTAGTTGAATTGTGATATGTCCTGCAAATGTAGGCGCTGTCCAAAAAGCCTACATATTGTATCATATTGTAATCCTATTTGTTCCTTTTGCAATAAAGTTAGTTAATGTTCTTTAAATAAGAAGTATCATCCACATTATCATAAATAACCACATGTTTGGCTAGTAATACAAAATAACACATCTCAAAACCAACAATCAGATTTTTCGTTCAACGTTCAAGTTATTTTATACAAATTACAAAACTATCCAGAAAACAAAAAAGTAGCTTGCACTATTGTACAGCTTCTCTATTTTGGGTGTATTTTTCTCCACCATTGGAATTGGATCGAATAGTCATTAGCTCTCGTGCAACGGCTGCCCCATGTCCCCGCGCCCATAAATCACACTCGAGCGCCATGACCTCAGCGCGGCCGCGCGGTCCTGGATGGCACTCCGTCTTCCATTATATCCTCGTTTCCCTGGCGGAGCGGCACAACCCCACAGCTTTTCTTTACTTTTTATGTACCTCAATTTGATTTATCATTTCCCGAGAAAACCCATGTATAACACCACAAAATGATGTATTTTATAGGGAAAGGAATTACACCTTGGAGCAGGACGTCATGACTGCTTTCACCTTTTTCTTTCTTCTTACCAACAGACGTTTAAATGGCTGGGATTATTAGCAAACGGCTATGTAGGCCAACTGCAAATCTGATGTATCTGGCTATGGCTGCCTAACCTTCATTCGGTTCTCTAGCTGAACAAATAGCGAGTCTCTGTAGCCTGGTAAAGGATTCTGAGGATTCTGATAAAAATGAAACAGGGGGAAAAAAATTGTAATTATATATATATTTTGTTGTTGTTGTGATATTTAAAACACCAATGGAGTTAGGCTACACCATGGGATGGGGAATTGTTATATGGACTTTGAAGCTAAGCTCAAATGTTCCCACAGTATAGTGAAGGAAATATAATTGAAGTTATGTTTAATGTAATTAATTTAGTAGCCAAAAACGTGAATATCGATACTCTTTAAAGATGTTCCAGTCTTAGTTTTCCAGCCAGGCAAAACCATGGACTCTTTTTTTCTTACTGACCTCTGCTTCTCGCGGCAATAACTCGCGACAGTAATGAACAATCGGCGGAAATACCTCAGAATAAAATCCATCCTCCCCAAGCACGAGCTCTGACTCTGTCCGCGAGGAAAAACATATCCGTCCGTGACAGCAGTATAATACCATCCACAAAAACCAAGAACATCTCTCTCTCTCTCTCTCTCTCTCTCTCTCTCTCTCTCTCTCTCTCTCTCTCTCTCTCTCTCTCTCTCTCTCTCTCTCTCTCTCTCTCTCTCTCTCTCTCTCGCTCTCTCTCTATGTGTGTCTCTCCCTGTCTCTCTCCCTCTTGCTTCCTCTCCTCGGCAAATGTCTACAAACCCGCTACTCCACTCACGGAAAGTGGGGTGACGCGCGTAATCAGCATCGTATGGCCAAACCCGGGGATCCGGTTTTTCCCCCGAGCCAGAACACCGCGCCGTATTATTCGCCCTGCTCACGTGACAAAACGTCAACTTAAATCCCTTTTATTTGAGCCCGTGAATCATTAATGGAGGCAGTCATTGCCCCTGAGGAGAAACGGATCACTTTGGAGGGAGGATAAAGAGGGGTGGATGACACTGCAATGTATCTGGCAAAGGGACAGTTCTCTTGCAGTGCCACTCTACATTCACACAACTCGCCCGATTCCAAAGCTTGTGTGTTGTGTCGGTTTTGGAGGCTCATATCTTTAGTGCCCATTAACGTAAACAGAGAGCGCTAATCCCAATGCAATGTACTGTGATGCTAGGCCATCTAGCCTTGAGCCACTGGCAGAGCAAGGGAAGTGTTTGCCGTTGCGATGTGACAATTCCCCCTACAGAGAGGGCTTTACGGGTGGCGGACGGATCACTCAACACCCGAGTCACCCCTTACTATTTTATTGAGAGATAAGGCTGGGGCTATTGTGTGCTATTGTGTGCAGAGTGTGCAGAGGCCCTCGTCATCACCCCACATCCCCGAGCTATAGCCTACAACCACTCACTCACCCATTCAGACAATAGCCTACATGCTGGCGGACAAATGGAAATCAAATGTCTTACAGTTACCTGTCCGAACGCTGAGTAAAGGTGTGCGCCCCGGTAGCCGGGAGGTGTGAGTCAGTCAGTCAGTGCTGATCTGAGCTGAGAGGTGATGGTGCATGAGGGCGCTCATTGAACTGAATCTTTACCCCCCTGGTCAGTGCAGGGACCCTCCATTCATCCTGCAGCTCTTATGCGTTCCCTACGGCCAGTTGAGTAATGCTGGAAATTATAGGTTTGCGCAGAGGGCATACTCGAATCCCAATATGGGGAGGGGGAAGGATCAGGTGGTAATATGGCAACTAGCCTACTCTTATGAGAATAGGGCCAACGACAATAGTCATCTTAGAAATAAATGCATATTCTATTGCAATGCGTAATAGGACCACAACTTCAGTTATGAACGTATTGTGGCCCACTACATGATATCGTTTAGACTTCCGGGGTATTGCCTAAACCTTGACCAGAAGCGCAGCCCTTCTCTCGGCAACGTTTGGCGCTTGATTTCCGTCAACACTGAGCAGCGGGCGTGGAAATGTTCCACCATAAATATTAATCACGCCAAGCGGACATGGACCGCATCCCACTCCCACACCACAGCACCCTTTGTCTTCTCAAACTACAACTTTTAAACTTTTAAAACCCGAACAGGAGGACACAATCTCTTATCAGTTTCCCTGTCAGACCACATTGTGGATGATTGGGAGTGAGGAGGCTATGAATTTATAATTTATGTTGGGTTAGAATTAAGGGTGAATCAGATTTGATTCACATGAATTATTTTTTCTCGTTTTTGTGAAGAGGTGAAGTCATTTCAACTCATTTTTAGAGTTTGGCCTGTACTTTGGGATACATTTTAGTGATACAGAAATGTGATTAATATCTTTCTCTGTTCTTCTAGTTTGGTCAGATTTGCCGAGAGCACGTGCATTCTAGTTCGGTCAGATTTGCGTAGAGCACTTGCATTGCAACGCTGGAGAGGGTCTGGGGCTCGAGCTGACTGAGGACGGAAAACAGACCCTTTCTCCCACGCCGCCTTTCGCCACCGCACCTGAACTTTTCCCTGACCCAAACCGAGGCGCGGAGAGTCGAGTGTGAAGTTATTTTGCGTCAAAAACAAGGAGAGGATGGAGACTACATAACCAATAAGAGCTATAGCTTCCTTTTCAGCCGGGAAAGTTTGGGATCCTATTTTTGAATAGGCTCTTGTTGCTTTCAGCAGTTGATTAGCATATTTTTTGGTTTATACATATTTTTTAAAGTTAGCTGGTAACATAAATCAAACTCCCAACGTTTGCCGGCCGCCAAGAGGACTTGAGCCGTAGACAGTCCTCTCCACACCGCTCCGTCATTGGATGTTCGCCAGACTGCGGTACATATCTCTCCACAATGTTGACATTTGAAGCTCTTAACAGCGAGCCATGGGTTACCGATACACTCAGCCGAAGAGGTTTACATCAGCCAACAGGCTAATGCGAAATTCAACGCCCTAAACTGGCTTGAAGTGCATGCTACAACAGAGAAGCCTCGGTGGATCTCGCTATACACTCCATAACGGACTGACTTCTGTTGTGGTGGTTTGTTTCAGTATGTGCTGTAGAAATAAAACTGTAGTGGTATTAATGTTGAATTCTGGTAGTCGTATCTTTTTATGCATTTCCATTGTAACTTTTGACAGTTTATGGTTATATATATATATATTTAGTGTAGTGAAGAGGTAATTATATAATTTTTAAGGTAAGAACAAAATACAAAACGTCTTAATTTGAGCAATAATAATACTGTAAAATAATAATAATAATAATAATAATAATAATAATAATAATACACATTATGAATGGCACATTTAATTGAATTAGTTCTGGGAAGCTAATTAACTCAAACTAATACATAACCGCTCAAAGCCATTTTGAACTTACTTATATGCCTATCATTCTTATAACTTCCTATATTGCATGCTACATTAATCTTCCATAACAGCCTATAGCCTAAAGTCAGTGTTTCGTGGGGAGGATGGTGATATGTTAATGTTTAACTAGGTCCTTGATTGTTCTTTGTGCCTTCTCTGTTTGAGGCGCCCTTTCAGCAATGTGGACAACTGGCCTACTGATATTTGCCTTCTAAAACTTTGCATGTGGCTTAGCTACATGACCAGACATAGGTTAAAATGAACATAAATTATTAATTTAAAAATGTACATTTTTTACAAAACACTTAGAAAACAGTTATCTTTACCTAATGAAAACTGAATACAGTCAATGACTACTGTTTTACCAAAATCTAACAATAATTTCAATTCAATACAACCCAGCATTATTTATCCCATTAGGAACAAATGTGTTTTTTGTATCAAGAAAATACACTTACAAGTCTATGTGACAGAGCATGCTGGTGTGAATAAAGACTTAGATCTCTTCCTCACTCTGGGTCATTGGGTCACTGTAAGGTAAGGTATCTTGTGATCACGTATGTCCATTGCCAATATACACTTGGGTCGAGTTAATTGCATTGTTTCTTTACAATTACCTTATTTATGCTCAATTAGCGAAGTGGCATTTCTGGGCTCTACACTCTTGATTGTAAGCCACAGGTAATGAGCGCACAAGTAGTCTCACTGCATCTCTTTGTCAATCTCAGCAGTTTTCTAACAACGGGGTATCGCTACATCTTTCATCAATTTATTTGCCAGTATTATATGAGTTCGCTCAACGTTTATGCCACGTTGCAATTCCATATCCGCCTCCTCGGGTGTTTTTGAGTATTTTTAGGGTAAATTTGCTCATAAATATAATATTATGGAAAAGCACAGATACTATACAGAAGTTTGTACTTTTCCACATGCTGAAGCGCCTAGTGTATAACCACTAGTCCAACTCTACCGCCTGGGCGCGCGCCTTGAACACGAGCTGAATGCCATATCCTACCATAATAACTGCCTCTGATAGTCTATTTTCATTGAACACCTACATCTTCATATGCTTAACCATTTAGAAATTGATAGTTTTAAAGTTTGCCAATGACTACATGATGGTTACGGTTACGCATTTTGGCCACAAGGAACCAGTCGCCCAGCAGATTAGTCTAACCCACAGAGCTGCGGGTTAACATGAGGTTGGTGTTGGTATTGGTGAGCAAGAAAGCCTTATAACAAAGCAGCAGCTGAATATATACAATTATAAATAAATCACAACCAAATATCAATGACCTGGACAGTTATATTGCTCTCAACCTTGGAAAAAAGCTATGGAAAACACAAGTTATTCAGGAAAGAAAATGTCCAAGTCTACTCACAATGAGACATGACGGGCTCTATCCACCAGGGAAAAGACGGTCAGGAGCGAGAATTTAGCAGAGGGAAATATTTGATTCGTGCTCCGCGGTGGATCACTTCAAATGAGAATACTGCCGATTTTCATATCTATTTCTGACCCGAGGGTATTCATTATTGAATAAGCCACGTGAGCAAGCATATTAACATTTTAGTACATTGGGAGTGACCTCTATTCGGGTATTAAATTAGCTCAAATTTCTAATTGAACCATCTCGAAATCATAAGAGACTGTGTAAAACATGTGCCAATCATCCAAAATGCCAATTTCTCAACTCCACCTCTGCGCCATGTGCTGGCACAGAAAAGGCCTAGACTAAAGTAGGCAAGATAATTTTTTGTAAATTGATATGTTTCCTTAACACATTACATTTAATTGCACTTGTATCCACTTAAAGCTCAGAGGGAGTTTACAAAGATGTAGCCTTATTACGCATTCCATTCCGGCTGTGGCCAATGTCATTTGATAAGAAAACACTCATTGCACATGCTATAACATTCCACTCAAGCCTACATTATATAATGCCACATAGTCATGGCTTCTGTGTATCAAGGATGGATCGTGGATACTTGTAAAGTCGAATCACTAGATTAAACATACTTCTGATAGAGAACAATATCATGGCCTTGAATAACTGGTTATTGATTTCGTTCACATATCCACTCGCAAATCAATGTTAGAGGTCCCATAATTATAACAGACTACCTTTAATTTACTAGAATAATGTAGATCCTTTGGAAGGGTCAACTAGGTCCTTGTTATTATGGCTACAGTAAATGGAATAGTTTTTTTGTGTGGTCTATCTCAATCCTTCCTTTTGCACACATGATCTGACAGAGGTGTTTGTGTGACAAACAGCAGCGGAGACGACTTTGAGTGAATTAACAGCACGGTTGCACACCTACACGCCATTTTGTTTCCGCATTGTCTCGTGGGCAAAGAAAAAACAAAAGAAAAAGCCACGGAGGTCTGGATATTGTGTGTGTCGTAAGGTCAGGGGTCACACGGAGTGCTCCGAGTCGATGATTGGCCAGAGATGGGGCCGTGTCCTCTAGTTAAACCCTCGGATTGTTTGACTGTAGCAGGTAGTGACCAACACTCGCACGCTGGTGCATTAAGGTTTGAGGGGAAGATGCATTCTATCCTTATAAAATTAAAACAGTAGCAGCCAGATGTGTGGGTGGACAAATACTTTGCTAGAATAGGCCTCTATGGGGCTACATAAAGGTTGGGGGAAATGTATTACCATGGTAGTATCCTATTCGCAACACTCTCATACTGTTGTCAGGCTGTCATATACTGCCAATTTACAGATGATCAACAAACATGCACACAGTATTCCGTTTATTAAGTGTTAACTGTGTATGTAATAATGTAACAAATATTAATGGTTCTTAAATTAAACTTCTTAGCCTTTAAAAGCAGTTTTATAGCACTCTGGAAAGTCCACTGAGAAAGATGCATCTGGGTGAAAAATAAAACGTTTTATGCCCACTTTACGCACAACGATGTTTCTGGATGATTTTGCATCTTTGGCTGCGAACCTATATTTACTGAATACCTTGAATACACCTAGTGGCCTTTTGTATGTATTTACTGACGTTTTTGGGGTTGCCTATAAGAATATCACTTGTTTGAGTTGTTTGGTCCAGAAAAAAAATCGAAAGTGGACAAACAAAGCAACATTCAACGCCCAGCTCTCTGTCCAGTTGCTCTTTTGGACCAAGCTTGATAACAACATACCGAACAAGTTGAAACTCATTCTGTTAAAATAAGGTAAGAAACAAACTTTTTAAGATGATATTTTTGAATGTATAAAGATAATTTTTCTTTGTGCATAGATATCCATAATTAGGTGAATTGTATTGCTTATGTGCATAATACCCATTACACACGCACATTCGAAGCACTGGATAGCTAATTCAAACGTTTAATCCCTGTTTGGGAATAGTGTTACGCCATTAAAAACTTAATGGAAAGTATTGTTATGTCATACATTTGAGAAAAACAAGCATGATGCGCATTGGCGTTGCAAGCCTTGTTAAATCATCCAGGCCCTTTGTGCCGCCTTTGACATATAGGCTATGGCATTGTTACCATAGCATTCATTACTTTAATCTATCTCAATGCATATTACTAAGAAATATCCTACAATATCATATCCAAACCAACATCAGCCATATAATTTAAGTACATATTTATTTCACGGGAAAAGTTTCTTGCAACGGGCCTAAATTACAATACATTATTACAACGTCCATTAATCAGACAACATATACAAATATTCACAGTTTAGATCACACCACAAAATATGGACAAACTAGTCTACACTGCTACAAGAACAAACAAACGAGGTTGCCTTTTTTTTGCCGACAAAATGGATTCAATATTGTGCCTTTGCTATGAATTGTCTATATTCATTAGAGGTGAAAGTCACCTGGACATTACACGACTTAACACATTCAACAGTAAACCAACTCACTCACACATCACGAGCTAAACCCTAACTCTGACCCTGTCTCTTTCTAAACCTGCTGAGATGTCTCAGACGGGCAACCCGAGCTTTCCTAAAACATTATCTTCTTTTCAAGTATATATTTCCATGAGAATTAAACAAAAATAAAAATGAGGCCTCACTTTATCTCTCTTCTCATTCTCTTGTATTATTATTCTATGCAATGATGCATATCATTAAATCCTGTGATACATTCGAGTGTAATTTCTCCTTCTGTCTTAATAAACAAATACATTTCAGTTGCCATCTTGAGCAGCAAGTGGCGGATTTCGAGCTAAAAAATTAGGAGAGAGCGAACAAACGGAGAGAGGAGGTTGAGGTTGAGAGGGTAAAGGGTATTGAAAGGAGGTGACAGGCCCAACAGCCAAGGGAAGGGGGCAATACCATGGGGGCCGTACTCGAGAATCGGTCCACAAAATTCCGTTTCTGTGTTCTGTTTGTCATTCTCAGTCTGTTGGTTTGGCGCGAGGGTTCCATCACTATAGGGTCGCGGAGCACGGCGTGGGAACGAGCTGCTGGTGCGTGGCAGTTTTGATTTGCTGCTGCTGCTGGGCTCCGGAGGATGAACTTGCAGAGCGGATCTTGGTGTTCGGAAGCTTGTGATCTTTCTTCCACTTCATCCTTCTGTTCTGGAACCATATCTTCACCTGACGTTCGGAAAGGCACATCGTGTGCGCGATCTCCACGCGCCTGCGTCGGGTCAGGTAGCGGTTGAAGTGGAATTCTTTCTCCAGCTCGAGAGCCTGCTGGCGGGTATAGGCAGTGCGGGACCTCTTGGGCACTCCTCCACTGTAACTAGCATTGACTAGAGAAAAGCAAGCACACACACATACAAGCAAGCAGGTGTTACTGCCACATTAAGCACTACAGTCCAAAAACTGACCATCTCCACTAGGCACATTACAAATGTTCTTCTCCATAAAGGTTTGTTGGTAGTTTAATGGGGGAATAAAGCCTACGATGTATTGTGGGGGTTTCGCCTCAATTTCTGTTGCGTAGAATTACCTTAATTTGGAGACCCCATGTGTACAAGCGCTCGCATCCAGGGACAAATCAAGCCTTAGAAAATGATTAACAAAATCAGCGGGGCTGGATATTACATTTTGGCTGGGGTCCAGCCATGGAGGTAGTTTTGTTTAAAAAGCAACAAAGACCTCATGGCCCCGGCAGGCAATAAAATTTACGAGGGGTTCTTAATTACCGACCCCGCTGCTCGATGGTCGTAAATTGCCATTGTAAGGGGTGCTACTAGTGCTGCCTCAATGGGCGTGCATACGTTCCAGTGGTGGCTTGCTCAGTGGTTCCGGTATTTAAACGTGGCGATAACTCACCAACATGGACCTTCTTCATCCAGGGGTAGACCACCGGCGGTTCCTTTCCCTTCTGTGCACCGGGATAAGACTCAGTGACGAGGCTGCAGTCTTTGCTGACGTCCTCCACCGCACCGCCGTCTGGGACTGGGCCATGGTTCTGGGCAATGGGCTGAGGTTGTGCGTGATGCCTGTCGTTAAAATCGTCGAGTCCATTGCTGGGGACATTACCGTAGTCGTAGCTCGGTTCTGTGTAGTTTGACCTCGGATACGACGCCTCCTCATGATGGGGAAAGCCCGAATCTTTTGGCCGTTCGTAGTACTCAGTAGAGGCGGGGATGTATCCGTTCTGTTGATATTCGTCGCATGGAGGAAAGGAAGGTTCGATATAGTTCGAGTTTATCAAATACGAACTCATGATCATTAATTTGTGAAGTGCAACAATACTAATTTTTATCGTGCTGTCGTTTTTCTGATCTCCACCAAACCCTCCTACTCTCTGTCAAATGTACAAAGTTGTCTGATCACGTGTAAACCGCCACCAATCACCACGTCTCCTGTGGGCATCATGTAAACAGGAACCAATGGAAAGCCTGGCATTGGCACAACGAAAATTGCTCGGACTAGTCTACGTTGTGTTTTCCTTATTACATCAAAATAGATCAAGAAAGAAACAATCAAGTCACTTGTTTATCACATAACCTAAACTAAACTAGAATTAATAGTTATTAAACCACGGCCTTGAGGATATGATGATGATGATGATGATGATGATGGGAATCTCTTGCTGTTGCACAGGAAAATAATGGGCTCTTTGGAAATAAGCAAACTGTAACTGCTCTCTTTTCTGTCAAAGATGACATTGGAGCTAATTTCCAGTCCACTCCTTTCCAAAATGCTTTCCTTTCTAGTCAATTCTGAGTTGGTAATTCCGTGAGTAAAATGCAAATCTGTAAATCTGTATCTCACTTGATTTGAAAGACAATAAAACAAAGCAAGGTTGAAAACATGTCATGTGCGCCGATACACACCTCGGAGGTTTATATTCAGTCATTTCAACCTATGAAAACTAAGCATTTTAATTTAAGAAACGTTTGAGAAGGATAACATCAAATAATTTACATTTGGCTCGTCATATGATGATACAAGATGGCAGCTGAATAGCAGGCCCAAAAAAGGCAAGTGATTTTGACATGGCCAAAGGTTCTTATTTTCATTTCATTTTAGTCATTTAGAAGATGTTCTTATCTAGAGCGACTTAAGCTATACAAGAACAGTGTTAGTTGATGAGAACGTAACATTTGTGTTGAAGTTTGTAGCAACTCAAAACAAAAGTAAGGGTTCAACATGCACTCACTTTCTACTACTAAAGCACTTTTTAGTAACCAAAAAGACAGGCCTATACGAGTCATTTTGAGAAGCAAATGGCTGTGATTGACTGTAACTAACCTGTGGTATAATATAGTACATTTACTGTACATTAAGCTGTTCACTTTCCTCCAAGATCCAACATAAAACACCCATAATTTGTGCAGTGTTTTAAACTATTGAGCTGGACACCAGATAATGCTTACAACAGCAACAAAACTAAGGGCATAATAATAATGATAATAATAATAATAATAATAATAATAATAATAATAATAATAATAATAATAATAATACATTTAGTGTAGGCCTATTATTAATACGTTAAACAACTACAACAACTGAAAAACTGCTACAACTAAAATACCTATATTTAAGACATCACCTGAAAATATCATGACCATGTAGGCTAAAATTAACCAAAAACACTTCTCGATTAATTTCACTATGACAAAAGTGCAATAATATACAGTTTATAATAGAAGCATCCCTGACCGTATCTCTTCTGTGCCATCAGTGTCTCGACAATTGCCATCTCCACGACCTGTTTGCCCTCCAGCTCACATTTCCAAATCCGAGGTGAAAATCTTGAGGACGCCACCTCAACCGCATGAGCAACACTACGGAAGGTGTCTGCGACCGTCTACGTGAAGAAGGCCCGGTGTGCCTTGGCAAGGGGATGCCAAACTTCGGAAATATTGAAGGCTTTATTTTATATTTTTTTCTCTCCCCCTTTCTATTCGCCCCCCTAAACAGCGATAACTTCTCTCTGACCCCAAAGTGACACCGTTTCTATTTTGTTTCTGATTAATCTTGCCCATTGACAGTCTTTGTTAAACAACAAGGCGTGCCCGTCTCCAACGAGGCGACATTTTCATATTTGTTAGACGCAGTGACCTGAAGTTCAACCCGTACTTGGACTTCGGTTTTCCAGGGTCTACTTGACTGTGGGTAGATAACGGAGCACTTAGCACCGGTCAGCACCCAACAGCGCCCAAAAAAAAGAATTAAAAAAAAACAGTACGAAGCCCACGATAAAGCGTAGGTCCATCTGAAAAAGCCTTGCGTCGACTGTGGCACTCCTGTAGGTAATGCTAGCCAACTAAACTGAAGTTTCAGTGTCTCCTGGTCAAGGTTTTCTTTAGAATAGTATAAATATGTATATGTGTTGAATTTGTCTCATACTGTTAGGCTTCTGTTATTGTTTCTCACCTAGGCTCTTGTTTTTCCTATTCAACAATGTCCAGCTCTGAGCTTTGTATGTGTAAGCCATCGCTATGGGATTTTCATTTTAGTCAGATATAGGTCTATATGGCTTTTTACGCATCTAAATAGCCAAAGTTGTTAGGTGTATTACAATTGAGTGTATTTTGCACCTGTAACTCATCGTGAATGACAAGGGGAATCGTTTTTCTGATCTTGCATCCAGAACGTAGCCAAGACCACCTGAGAGTCTGTCTATCAGCATAAAGTCCACGGTAAGAATACTTGACTTGATATCTAAATGTGCACTCTAGTGTGTTATATAAGTGTTCTATAAATATGGGCAGGGTTGGCTATTATCCACTCGCTAGCCATAGTACCCTTGAATGAGCGACAGTTTAAATGGTCCGTAATGCTTTACAGCCATTTACAATTTACTTGTTGCTATACTACAGCTTGTGTGTGTGTGTGTGTGTGTGTGTGTGTGTGTGTGTGTGTGTGTGTGTGTGTGTGTGTGTGTGTGTGTGTGTGTGTGTGTGTGTTATACACAGTTTTGGAAACGTTCAATTTGGAATGCGTTTTAAACAAGTATTTTTGCATGAGAAAAAGTAATGAACTGTAAAAATCCTGATTTACGACGTTAAATTCCATTCATTCCCTTCAGTTGAGAAAATAGTTATTTCGAGATATAGTTTTATTTATGAGTTTTGGAACAGGCGAAATATATATGTGAGTGGCAAACGTTATGATCTGATAAACAATTTAAACGACTGAAATATGCTATTAAACAACCACATTCAGTGTTTTACCTGATGTTCACAAATGGATGTTTACAATGTAAATTTTTTTGGCGATTAAGAAATGTGGGCCAACCTTAGGTTACAACGTGGTTTTCGCTATTGAAATGTTTCTGTAACAATTATTCTAAATCAAAATCGTCCAAGACATCCATGTTAATTAGCAAAAGAGCAAAAAGTCTAGTTATGAATAAGAAATAATGAGGCCTACTATTTATTAATTTAGAAAGGTACTGTGTGAGAAAGAAGTGGATTGCCACTCCTTCGGTCTTCCCATATATAACGAACATATATCATACTGACACTGTACTGTAAATTGAGATAATAAGAAGAGTGCTCTGACGATAGTGACTGATCACACATGGTTGCTAGATCCCTTGTCTGTTAGGAGGACCAGGCTGCAGAGGAAACGGTTCCCTCAGCATCACGAGGTGGTAAAGGTAAGGGTAAGTATTTTGATCATAAAACATTTTGAAATAAAGAAGATATTGGGAGTGGTGTGTAAGAAGGAAGCTATTGATCGATATTTTGGCCTAAACATGAATGACACCCACAGAGCTCCTCGCACATTTAACACAAGTTTAGAGGAAGATGGATGGGTGAAATAGTATGATTATGTTGAACATTTTGTTTAAATTGTCTTCTTAAAAATAAGACATAAATCAAAGTAAATGTAACTGCATCAAGTGAATGTTTTATGTAGATTGTAGATACACACAAGTGTCGAACAACATGGTCATAATAGGTATGTGTTATCATAGCATACTATTTTGCCCAACCCGTTTCTTCTAAACATATACGATGGAACATATACTTTATTTTCTTCAAAAAACAGTTGTTAGAACTGTGCCAAAACCCAATGAGTTATCTCCTATAAGATAAAGATAACTTGTGGGAGCTACGAACATTGAGTGGCTAATGGCTATTTATTTATGATAAAGACAATTGCCATATTAGTCCTTTGACTCTTGACTCTTTCGAAATAAATGAAGACACTGAATTGCCAATAGTTAGGCTATTGTATAATAGGCCACTTGTTTGTTTATCAAAACGAAATATGAATGACAAGTTGGGGAATACATTGTTGCTAACACGGCTAAGGTGGATCTCATAATTTCGAGTGCACAGTTTCATGTGAGGTTTTTAGAGAAATAGCCTATGTTACATTTAGCTGTGTGTTTAAACCGAATTGTATCTATTACAATAGAGGTGCATTATTTGTGATCACATTCTCACATTCTCACAGCTTTACGGGAAAGGATAACGCCTAGATTCGATCCTGTTATGCAGGTCCATCCGCCATTAGAAGCTATATAACCTATATCCTAATCGGTTTTCAAAACCCAATAAAGTTACAATGTTATTTTGTTCTTACTAATAACAATTGACTGTTTTCAATATAAAATAAACATATTCCTTCTTTGTAACCAAAATCACCTTATGGGTCTCTTTTTGTAAGGCTAAAAACAGGACTTTTTTCTCAGCAGAGGGAGAGAAAGACTAAATGTTTTAAAGGGGACCGGGGGCTCCATTTGGGGGGCTGTGGGCATAGCCTACCCATCATCTTGTGACCGGGGTAAGAGTATCAATCCTCAAAATGCTAATTTTCCCCTCATATCCAATGCAATTTATTCAAAGGAAATTCACCAATCAACCGCCCTAATAAAATGCCGGCCACTCAATCTTGGGTCTGGGGACGGGCGGGGGTCCACTCCCCTCGGTCCCAAACTCGGGGTCGCCCCGCTTTCAGGGTTCACCTGGAGTGCACCGTCAAACATACGTAATTCAAAGCTATTCTATCTTTTGTGTGGAGAGTCAAGATCGCTATTATAATGCTGGCATCAGGCCCCTGCTGAACAGATGACGGGAGACGTGTTCAGCGGGTAAACTTTTGACCCCAATTTTTCCTCCTCTTCCCCCGCTATATCGAGATCATCAGTCCCACCCCTGTGAGGCTGTGCTGCCCAGGCGAGGTTTCTGGCTGCTTGTGAAGAAACATTGATTTGCAATATATCAATTTCTGTTATGATTACTGTAATTATTCTAATGAATCTTCTGTAGCTCAATTGGTAGAGCATGGCGCTTGTAACGCCAGGGTAGTGGGTTCGATCCCCGGGACCACCCATACGTAAAAATGTATGCACACATGACTGTAAGTCGCTTTGGATAAAAGCGCCTGCTAAATGGCATATTATTATTATTTATATCATAATTAGTGATATAATAGAATAACTGTAGTTGTATCTCTGTATTGTCTCACTGTGGGTGTTGGTTACAATGCACCGCTTTTTATACAACTAAAAACACTTTTGTACAACACTAATACAAGCAAACCGCTCAAGGATGAATGTCCTGTTTTTTTCTCCTTGCCTCACATAGGCCTAGTGGTTTTGCTCAAATGCCCCATAGGCTCTCCAAATAAACTAATGCAATATGCAAATTATATTACTTCACTGCACTGTATATTAAGGCAAGCAAACCGGTCAAGTATATGTGTGCGTCCTATCATACTATTGTATTTGTGTGTGTGTTTCTCCCCGTCTCAGGAGCTGGCTGCGGGTGACACTGAACTTGGCCTAAAGCGAGCTCTGCTGGTGGCTCCTCGAGGATGCAGATGTACTTGCTGCTATGACTGACCTCGCGGTGAACCGCGCACGAGGGAAGGTTCTTTTTTTCTGCCTGGCATTGTCTGCCTAGGACCCCGATTTTGATTTTTTTATTGTGTAACAATGGTGCAATTTTCTCCCCAGATGTCACAATGATATTGGCATAGAATAACGGTTTCACTTTCGTTTTCTACACCATACAACTGTAATGGAAATAAAGTTGAATTTCGTTGCATTGGCTATTTGTTTACATGATGGAGTCTTTCCATTTTTCTGATGTGAAATATATTAAAATCGAATTCACACCACTGATGGGGAAAAGTTATGAGTAGCCTGTAAGCACCAATTTCGGCCAAATTGCAATCTGTGCAAATACTTAGAATTTTGAACACACCAAAGCACTGTCATACACAACAAATAGGCAAAGCCCATACTAGCCACTTATCAGTAAACACACCCTATTGCAAAATAAAATAAAACCAAGACTGTTGCCACAAGTAGGCCTAAACAAAATCTACATTATAACCAAAACGAAAAAGTAATTAGGCTATAGCCTACGTAATAAGAAATTATGATGCAGAGACATTTTTCCAGCAAACGAAAACATACGCAATCTAAAGAAAACTATTGTAATAGGGCAAATGCGTCAAAATACAACGTCTGACCAACCCTTGTGACGCGTTTTCACATAGACTACTTTTATAAATCTTTGCTTTCTTGGAGATACTGGTATCTGAGTGTCCATGTCGGCCCGGACGAAGCAAGAGTGACACTCTCCAAGAGGTCAACTGAACTTTACAACCCCAAAACACAAAATGACATGGCTGACAGAAAACGGAATTCCTTTCCAAATGTGGCCCTGCTGCGTTTTGTCCTCTGTTTTGTTTGGCTGTCTTAAACCATTTGAACAAGTGTGGAACACATGAGGAAACCTGACCAAAGCCACAACTACAGCTCCAAACAAAGTGTTGAAATTGTGCATAACTTTACACTCACACAGATTTTTAAAAAGCTACATTTACCCCAAAAGTGGTGTATGATAGTTGAGTACTGTACACAAACATATTCCAGTTTAGCAATGACATTGGAAACACCATAAAACAGCTCAAAGAGATGTTTGGCTTGTCCAGCACATTAATGGCTATGAAGCGTCCAAAGATGCCCCGTGTGTAATACAGGAAGTGAAAAAACACGAATGAACAGAAGCATAATTATCCCACATGCAAAAATGGATTATGAGTTACACCACAGATGGAGGGAAACAAGTTACACTAGGAAGGAAGCAATTAAATATCCATGAGCCTGACTCAACCCTGGCCAACATCTGCCGAGAGAAACCAGGATTCAGCTCAGCACCACTGACAAATTAGCTTAATGGGCTAATATGGACAGATAGCGCGTCCGAATACAATCATAATGCCGTTTCGAACAGGGTGGCTGTTCAGAGCCGAGGGAATGGAAGGCTACAGGCTACTCAAGGGCAACAGAGGCAGAAACTTACTTCGAGACCGGGCCTGTCTCCTCATGTGCGTCCGGCGTGCAGGGTCCATCGCGAGGCGTTCTGCTGAGCGAGGAGCGGCTGTAGCGGTAAAGGAACACTTACAGCCTGCAAGGAGAGAGTCAGAGGAAGCCTTGCGTCAGTGCGATTATATGTTATGTGCAATATACTGTCAACTCCCCAAAACCATAAAACTTACTTTAATGGCCACCACGTGACAGTTTATGGCCAGTGAGCCTATCTGGCCGCGCTCCGGATGATTTTTACGATCTAATTCTTAGACAAAACCCCCATTCATTTGGCACCCAAATGTCAGGGAGCCGGAACAGGCCTAATAAAGTTTACGTCTCGAAAAGTGAACTGATTCTCTGAGAGTAGTAAGCTCGAGCACATGGGACGCAGAGCCCCTCGAGCTGGTCACTGGCAAGGACCCGCTTTAGACCCACGCGCAAAGGTGAGTAAAGTGTGCGGATATCGATTTTTCTACCTGTTGATTTTCTCGACCTTGAAACTAGCTAGAAAAGTGTAACTTTTAATGTTTTGATTGCAATCAATGGAGTGAAAGGGTTTAGCTGAGAAAAATAAACTAATATTTCAGGCCTGCATTCTACTTAGGCCTATAGTCTTGACCTAGAAAAAAACGAGTTACAGCAGACCTAAAAAGTTTACGTTCAACAACAAAAACCTTACAAAAACATACAAACTTGCTTTTTACCGTGAGGCACATTAAGAAATAATATAAAGAATCGAAATAACAGATAATGTACAGTCTCTGTCATTCCAGTAGAAAGTTTATTATAATCAGCATCATCACTATAATATTATTTTCAATTTCCAGTCATTCTTTAAAAACATTTACAAAAAGCTTATAGCACGAAGCTATCCACTTAGAGGCAATGGGATCAACTATGGAACCCTCCACATCCAAAATAGAGGGGGACGTACACGAAGACAGAAAAACACATTCTAAAAGAAGCTGCGCCAGGTGAACAACTTTACAGCAGCTTGTGCAAAAGAAGGATACAAAGGCACAGCTACTCACAATGGGTCAGAACTGCGGTTCCGTCACGTGTTCACAATGTACAACAATCACATTAGGCTTATCATTCTGTCTACAATAAGGAACAAGTTATCTAAATTTGGTACAATACATTGAACAAATAAATACATACTTACATATAACATAAAGGCTATACACAAAAGCAACACCATTTTTTATAAACTCATTAATTATTCGAGTTTCTATACTGTTTTACAAGTGCAATAGGCTACACAACTTTTATTGGATAGTTAATGGACTTTTTTGCGGTAACTTCGAGCTTATTCTATTTTGAACGAGAAATAAGTTAACAAACATGTATTTCCCATTGGTTTGTCCTCTAAGACAAACAATGTACAGAATACAAGTTACTTTTTTACTCACACAAGCATTATCACGGTCAAAATCAAAATAAATATAGAGGAAAGTCTTTTTGAAAAGGCCGGAGCATGTACACCTGGACGTTCACTGTCATCAAGACAGCCCTCAGAAAGTCTCTCACGATTTAAAAATGAAGGGAAGTTCTCCCAAGCTTTTTATTATTTTATTAGAGCTCATCGGGGAACCAAATATCAGGGACGGTGGTACCCTACACCCCCTGCCGCTGCCATGCTCATGCTTTTCAGTTTGTTGTCCTTTTTCCACTTCATCCTTCTGTTCTGGAACCATATTTTGATCTGGCGTTCTGATAGGCAGAGTGCGTGCGCTATCTCGATCCTCCGTCTGCGGGTCAGATACCGGTTGAAGTGGAACTCTTTCTCGAGCTCCAGGGTCTGGTAGCGCGTGTATGCTGTTCTCGCCCTCTTCCCCTCTGGTCCGGTCAGACTGTCTGGTGATAACACAGGATGCAACCATGAGCCCATAATCAAAATAGCAACCTACACTAACGCTTTATGCAATGACTATTATATGCTAGAACATTTACTTTATTCTTGATCACACTTCGATGCAGCCCAATCCACATAAACACACCTTCACACACTGTTCACCTTTCACACACCGTTCACACACCTTTCACACACACCATAAAACGCAGTGGAAGTGCCAATTAATTCCCAAAAGTTTGTCTTATAAAAAGACCATAAACATTTAGAATAATACAACATTATGGCAAAAGAAAGTCCTATATTTAAATGTTCCACCTCCTGCATTTTGGTAACATGAAAATGTCCTGTGTTTTCATGCCACGTTTAATTACTTTTCCAATGGAACAAATATGCAGGTGAACAGGTGGCGTAAATCTCGCCATTACACCACTTAACCATTACTACTATCGAATACAGATTATTTCTCTCTTATAGAATGATTTGGTGAAATACTTTTTAACTTCGAAAATGGCAACAAGCACAGCTTAAATGCGCTATCTTCACGACAACTAAAAAACACAAACATAAACGACTACCTAATCAACATATAAAGCTATAAAGTTATTTTACCATGATTTATGTGCAGTTTCCTCATCCAGGGATATATCTGAGGCTGGGCACCTTCGGTGAAATTTTGGGAAGTTGTCTGCTCTCTTCCAGCGGGCTTCTCTTCCTCGAGGAGGGGGGAGGCTTTGGACACACATTCCTGGTTCAACAGCGTGCCTCCGTTCGAACTCGAGCTCGGGGTCGCGCAGGGGCTAGTTATGGAGTTCTTTATGGCTCGGTGTTGAGGTTGAGACTCGCTGACCGGAGACAAGCTTGTGACAGAGGAGGAGCACGGGAGTGGGTCAGGTGCAGGCGAGAGGGACGCCGTCCGGGTGGCGCTCGCGGGCTGGGTGTACCTGGTAGAAGACGTTGTTGCCGCCGCCGACTGGTTCGGGGAGTAGCCCTGTGCCCGCTCGTTGGCCACAAAGTGCCCATTACCGCGACCGACAGTGAGGTCCATCCCGTTGTAGCCATAACCGTGCCTGCTGGAATGCATGGTCGTTGGGTCCCTGTATTGCTCGTTTGCTGAGCTGTGGTCTCCATAATTATGTAACTGGAAGTCCGCGCCATTGGGATAGCGACCGCAGAATGAGTTTACAAAATAGGAGCTCATTTATTGACTATTCCAATACTGTTGTTTATCAGGTATTTGTTGTTTTTATTTTTGGAGAAATAAGTAACGTGTGTGCTTGATTTGTGGCTCTTGATGATTTTGCGCGTTCTATAGCACCCTTGCACAATTCATGATGAATTATGGAAATGAGTAGAACGTGTACTTGATTCTCTCTTACGTAGGCACCCAAATATGGGTTACGGCTGAGAATCACGTGCTTTTGTTGACCAGTCGTAAATCCTGCTTGATGACCTCCAGAGGTAAACTCGTGCACAAGTAGGAAATCTGGGTGGGACGTTAGGGGCGCGCGCCTGGGAGTGCGCCTGGGCAGGGCGCTCGCGGGGCCCGGGTTGCATCTCTTGGATTGTCGTTGCGCGCCATCCTCTGGCCACAATCTGGCACTGCCTGCGACGGTGTTTGAGGCGTGGCCTCTGAACGGGGTCGTTGAGAGGTTAACGACCATTGCGGCAAAAGATTCGCAAACAATACAACAAGAAACGCACTGAATAGTGAATATGCAACCTCTCCACTGATACAGAGTACAAAGAGAAATCGGTATTCAACGGTATCCTTATCCTTGGGAATAAAACACATACAGTAGGCCTACAACACAACATAAGTAGCCTATAATAAAGAAATATAAAAAACAATTATCTAGCACCTTACATTTAGTTGAATGTTTCGTTAAACCATGTTACAATATGCTTGAATTATAGTAATCAACTCTTGAATAATCAATATTTGCATTAATATCCATCTTATGGAAGCTTAGTTCAGCCTACTGGTGTGAACAGCATGGTCAACCTGCAGTTCAACCGTCATTCTTAAAATGAGGCATTTCAAATGAATTACTGTTTCGTTTTTTAAAAGATGACAGGAAGTAAGCTACCGTACAATATTATTATTAGACAACTATTTACCCCTCAATTGAAATTCCATAAATACTGAATGTGAATAACGCACGTTTTGATCAACAAATGATGCCTGAATTAAGTAAATTGGTTCAATGTAGGTGCGTAAAATGTTGCTGCGGTGCGTAATGAACAGCCTAAGTTCTAGCAGATATTGCAGCGAAACAATAATATTCATTTTTATTGTCATGAGTTTTTTTTGCCAATATGGATAACTAAAGTCAATTAAAGAACAGGAAAACGAGGAGCAGAATACAGGTTCGTTCGAAAGGAATTTAAACACCCGAAGTTGCTCGCATTCGATGAAGAAAGAAACTCAATGAAAGAGAAGGGAATTTAGAATATATGTATTTTAAAGAATGTCTGGCGATAGGGGGAATGAACAGGATCTTTTGGTTTAGGAATTGTAGTGTATTTTACATGGACATATGCATGCCTAAGATACAATGGAATTATTTCCCTTGGCCTCACTTGGCATCTTCCCCATACCCATTTCCTTCCATAAATAATGTCATCGGAATGAGGATGTGAAAGTAGTAGGCTATAGGACTCTATTTCTGCCCAGATAAGTATTGTAAAGTTTTCAAAATAGAAAGATAAGGCACCGCTTAATGACAATCTAAAATGAGGTTCGAATTATGATATGAAGAAAGCCCTATCGGTATAACAGCAGAAGTAATAATACCGTAGGCTCAAAACAAGCAATGACAATAACAAACATATGTCTACAGTATTTTAGCACTATTTGATTTTAAATCATGTTAATCGGTGTTGAGTTGCTGTTTTGTTGGTGTAACTTAGAGGTCAACTTTATCTAAAATAGAAGCAGTGATGACTATAATAATAGCCTATTTCCATTGGGCAAACACTGGTTGAATCAACGTTGTTTCCACCCCAAAAATCAATGTGATGACGTTGAATCAACGTGCAAAAAGTCTTCAACATAAGGGCATTTCCTATTTTTCACCCACCTTTTAACCTAAATCCAATGACATGGTGAAATGTTTTGTTGATTTCATGTTGAATTCACGTTATTTAACAACTCAGCCAAATGTAAATCAAAACTAGACATTGAGCTGAAGTCTGTGCCCAGTGGGTTGTTGTGACATTAACGTGACTACTATAGCTGGTGCAGGTGCAGGCAGAGCGAAAGCATTTTTAAAACATGTAGTTTACAAAAGATACTGTTCGTTCCGTCTACTAAGCAGAAAATAGTGCACTCCATATGGATTACTGGACACTCAGGCACGCTTGCGACGGCCAGTTGCAAACAGATTTACACGAGTAGGCTCTGGTTATCCATAGTCCATTGGACCTCTTGGTCCTATAGTCCCCAAAAGACGATAGCCCATATGGCACACGCTGGCACTAACAGCGTGATGGATACGTCTGCGTGTCTGTCCGAAGGATGCAGACTCACAGCGGTAATATGGCCCCTTCAGGCACCGCAGGAGCCGAGGAACAATCTGCACTCAGGACCAGATGTGTACAGCGGTGTATGAAGAAGCCTTGTATCCGAGCCCGGGTCTTGACTTTCTGGGATAGTTTGAGTGAGCGCATACAAACTTGCTCCGGATGTTGGAAGGAGCGAGAATAGGTTATGTGCTTTATAATGGCCAGGAGTGTTTGTGATGGAGGTTTTAAAGAGGTTGTAATGGAGAGAGAGTCTAAGAGCTAACATCTGATTTATCAATGCCAATAGAAACAAAGTTCCCAAGAAATTATCCCACCCAGGGGACAAGGGGCAAACCAGGAAGTGGGAGAGTAAGAAAATATGTTCTGTGCAAAAAGGGAAAAAAATAAAAGTATAGAAAAAAACGACAAGACTAATTACGTTCTACTCAAATGTCTGCATCTGGTAGAAGCGTCAGTATTCTGCAATTTGAACAATTTGAAATTCAGATCCCAACCTTGATCGATGAGTGAGTAACATTTCACGATGCTTCAGTTGTATTTGCTCATAAATGTAATTAGCTACGTAGGCTGTATTACGCGCGTAATAGCCTAAACGATTCAAGCTGCATGCATTTCAGAAACCCTAGGTTTTGTATACTGCAGGGGAGCCGCAGAAAGGCCATTTTCCTCGACTGGTTGCATTACCACTGTAAATATCTAGGAGGGTATTCAATTGGAGACGCTAAGGTACAATGGAACACTACAAACACACATTCAATAGGTAGGTAAACCATAACGGATTCACTTGTAATAGACTCAAACTCATCGAAGGAAACTAAGCAAACTGACACGGACACAGCAACTACACACGCATTATTAAAATGCAATACAACAATATGCTATTGTGCTGTACTCATTCCTTGGTATTGATGCCTATTGTGACGTTTTGGTCTCTCAGGGTCTTATTTGTGTCAGTATTTTGAGGTAATAAGCTTGCCATATCAATTGTGACGTTTTGGTTTCTCAAGTTCTATTCTGTGACATAATTTGGAGGTAATAATCTATTGTCATATGAATGGTGTCTATCTGTGATGTATTTAGCCGGGCAAAATAGACAGGGTTAACTCGAATTTTCTAAATGTCCAATACAAAAACTTCAAGCATATACAGTAATTCACAACAATCAATTCCAGCTATCAGGCCCTATATGATAGTGCCAATGCCATTACTGAACAGCATGATATCATATTACTCTTATTTGTGTTGCTATAAAGTTTATAATTATTATAGGTATGCACAATATCGAGATGAAGGGGTCATTGATGAGAGTATTCTTTCTGTGATGTGGTGCTGATGTTACCTCATGGGGATAGCAAACAGATGGGGATAGCAAACAGATGGGGATAGCAAACAGATGGGGATAACAAACAGATGGGGGTAGCAAACAGATGGGGGTAGCAAACAGATGGGGATAACAAACAGATGGGGATAGCAAACAGATGGGGATAGCAAACAGATGGGGGTAGCAAACAGATGGGGATAACAAACAGATGGGGATAGCAAACAGATGGGGATAGCAAACAGATGGGGATAGCAAACAGATGGGGATAACAAACAGATGGGGATAACAAACAGATGGGGATAGCAAACAGATGGGGGTAGCAAACAGATGGGGATAACAAACAGATGGGGATAGCAAACAGATGGGGATAGCAAACAGATGGGGGTAGCAAACAGATGGGGGTAGCAAACAGATGGAGATAGCAAACAGATGGGGGTAGCAAACAGATGGGGATAACAAACAGATGGGGATAGCAAACAGATGGGGATAGCAAACAGATGGGGGTAGCAAACAGATGGGGATAGCAAACAGATGGAGATAGCAAACAGATGGGGGTAGCAAACAGATGGGGATAACAAACAGATGGGGATAGCAAACAGATGGGGGTAGCAAACAGATGGGGGTAGCAAACAGATGGGGGTAGCAAACAGATGGACAGATGGGGATAGCAAACAGATGGGGATAGCAAACAGATGGGGATAGCAAACAGATGGGGTAAAACAGATGGGGTAGCAAACAGATGGAGATAACAAACAGATGGGGATAACAAACAGATGGGGATAACAAACAGATGGGGATAGCAAACAGATGGGGATAACAAACAGATGGGGATAACAAACAGATGGGGATAGCAAACAGATGGGGATAACAAACAGATGGGGATAACAAACAGATGGGGGTAGCAAACAGGAGAGGAAGACAAGAACACTATATAAGCAAATATAAGATAGTATACATTTTAAATGTTTTAGTCATTTAGCAGACACTCTTATCCAGAGCGAATTAGAGTAGTGACTGCACACATGTTCTTACTTTTTCCACCTGGACTCAGGAGTAGACGTAACATAGTAAACAAAAAGCTGGGACACTCAAATTAGTATGATATGTTACATTTGGTATGGTATGAATTAATTTGTGGATGTCTATCATCCATTTCGTATGATATGTTACGAATTAAAAATCGTATATGATATGTTACGAATTGCAATTCGTACAATATGTTCCGAATTTGCAACACGTGTGATATGTTATAAATTCAAATTTGTTGTGGCTAACCTTAGCTAGGTGGCTAGGTGCTTATCGCTAAAGTTAACTAGGTGGCTAATGTTAGCTAGGCTAGGGGTTAGGGTTAGGGGTTAAGGTTAAAGGAAGGGTTAGCTAACATGCTAATTAGTTGCAAAGTAGCAAGTAGTTGCAAAGTTGTCTGTGATTAGACATTTGCGTTGTAAGCCTAGCTATCCACCCTCCTTTCGTTTCTTGCCTTAAGTAAACTTCTGTCTTATGTAACCATACCAAACTAAACATATCATACTAATTCGAGTGTCCCAGATTTTCGTTTACTATGTTACTTCTAGTCTATAAAACGAGGCTGACTTTTTCGTACTGGTCCCTTGCGTTGCACACGGGTCCTATACAGCATACAGTATATAGATTAACACAACTGCTACACAAGATACACGTTGATCGTGATTCGTGCTAGAAAACGCAATGTACACCACTGTGTTGTGGTTGAACTGTGCTGTAAATGGCTAAATGGGCACAACGTTGTGACCAAAACAGGACCACACTTCTCCCACAAGAGGGCGACAGAGAATAGTATATTGGTTACAGTCCCAATACTCAGCTGCTGACAGACCATCCCATTTAAATAGCAACAAATAAAAAAACACAAATAGCATGCACACTAATACATTTTTGAAATTCTCATAATGAAAACGCATAGGCCTACACTAATATTGAATTACATAGGTCAAGTCCAGAGACCACAATCAACTATAATATGCCATTTAGCAGACGCTTTTATCCAAAGCGACTTACAGTCATGCGTGCATAAAAAAAAATGTTTTGTGTATGGGTGGTCCCGGGGATCGAACCCACTACCTTGGCGTTACAAGCGCCGTGCTCTACCAGCTGAGCTACGGAGGACCACAACTAACCATAACAATGATCATAATCATGCAAATTATGATCATATCATTATTATCAAATCAAATTATCGGACAAAACCCATTTTAACCAAGCCTACAACACTCCAACCACTCTTCTGAAAGTCATCACTGTTCAGAACTAAACAAGCATAGCAAGCAAAATTATGGTACTGTTCAAAACTAAACAAGCATAGCAAGCAAAATTATGGTACTGTTCAAAACTAAACAAGCATTGCAAGCAAAATTATGGTACTGTTCAAAACTAAACAAGCATAGCAAGCACAATGATGCTATTTGTTTTTATGCTCACTCTATTTAATGAATGATTACCAAATCATATCAAATCATAATCATGATAAGCAAGTATTCTTACCGTATCTGAGGTGTTCGGGTCTAATGTTGCGTGGGGATATTACTAGAAGAGGACGGCGCGAGGCGACCGGGAAAGATCCCCTATTGTGCCAGTTGGGTCCCTGGACGAATCCACGAGCTCCCGGGGTCAGGCAAAGACGCGCTCGCACTCAATCCGTCCATTGTGCCAAACCGTCACAAGAACGACGGTAATTAATCCAAACCAGAGAGGGACACTGCTCCTTGACACTGCATAATACAAAACAAAACTCAAAAGCAAAACAGCATTACCCACGACGAAAATACATAAACAATGACATTGAGGAGCAAAAGCTTTTACAGTACAGAAAGGCTTATGTGACAGACACAGGCTGTTAAATGAGTGCGGTTCTATTCTGGAAAAGGAAATTATATATAAAAAAGTTCATGTTCACGGCTCCATGCCATGTGACCAGCGGCGACCAGTTGGAAGGGAGGAGCCTCTTAAAATTCTATTGCTATGTTGTACAGTTTCATAAACAACAACAGATTTATGACCCAGTGAGAGAGGGAGAGCAAAGGGAGAGAGGGGGAAAGAGGGGGAGAGATGGAGAGAGAGGGGAGGAGGCAGGTCAGAGCTAGGCGCCATTTTACCGAAAAGAGGGGGAATGCAGAGTTAAACATTCAACATTCATTTCCCCTACACAGTAGGCTACACATACACAGCCTGTGTAGTCTCATGTCCTCATAGTGAGCATACTTTAGCCCATAGTTTCCCAATCTCGGTCCTGAGGACCCCAAGGAGCGCACATTTTGGTTTTTGCCCTAGGGCTACACAGCTGATTCAAATAATAATCTCATTATTAAGCTTTGATTATTTGAATCAACTGTGTAGTGCTAGAGAAAAAACCAAAACATGCACCCCTTGGGGGTTCCCAGGACCGAGTTTGGGAAACTCTGCTTTAGCCTCTTTATTAAAGGAGTAATTCACTATTTTACAACTTGATGTTAGATGGTTCCTCACACTGAAAGTGGTCTATAGGCAAAGATAAACTGTAATACATGGTTCAGTTTTCTTTGAACAGCCACTACAAAATTCAGCTAACCTTAGCCACCACAAGCTAAAAATCAATGGACGTGATATGAGCATGTAATAAGCATGTTTAAAAAGAAAAAGTCAAAATCACCTGAAAACAATTCAAATCAATTCCATATTTAGTTTGATGTTACTTAAAGGTGATTTGGCTATTTAGAAGAAAAAAAACATGCTCACATGCCCCCATCACTTCCATCGATTGTTAGCTTGTGGTGTTTGTAGTGGTCTGTTAAAAAAAAACTGAACCATGGATTACAGTTCCTACTTTCAGGGTGGGGAACCATCTCAAATGAATTTGTAAAATAGTGAACTACTCCTTTAAACAAATGTGTCATGGGTTTCATCATCTCTTTTCACTTTTCCTGCTGAATAAGCCAGATGGGCATTGTGTTATGTTATAGCATATGTGTAGGCTTACAGTGTTGTCAATATTTCTTGTCATATAAAAACAAATGTCTTGAATGTAAAAAAAAGAAAGTAACACAAATATTTTAACCCATGCATAATTTAGGGTAATACCATCTATTTTGGCATGTTGGCTATATGTGCTTTCTTAACATTTTGGCTAAAGTTTTCATAAATGTATGGTTGGCTTACAAGAAATTCGTTACGAAGCTATTTTCAAAACTGAATGGTTTTGTTTTTATTGGATTAAAATATAGTATCTTGCATAATGTCAAAATAAGAATACCTCCGAGTCAAAGCGGTGAATGTGAAGTGAGAGATAGGTTATTTCTGAACATTGGAGCAATTCTCTTCTATACATTTGATCAGATAAAACAAACACACAATTTCCCGAATTTACAAATAGCCTACAAACGCATGCAAGCAGACACACTCACGTCCACAAAAAAATTATATTGATCTATAGAGGACGCAAAAATACACTAACAACACGACGTCACAGTGTATACAAAGACTTACATTTCACATATATACAAGAAGTTATACGGTATTGAAATTCCGTGAGACAGTAGTAACCTATAGGTCTATAGTCTTTGACGTAAAATCTGAGGTAGGGTATACAAATGTGACTATTCATTTTTGTGTTAAACATTGCTGTTTTGGAATCATGCAAATATGTATTACAATCTCTACATGGCCCCAAAAGACAAGCTCTCACAAATATAAGACATGGGAATATGCCAAACCGTAACAGCTACAGCGGCGCAATATAACGAGAATAAGGGACAGTAAAACATTAAAGCCATATTCGCTAGTTGATTCAACTAAGGCACTTTTACGCAACATTTGCATTTATTTCCATTTTAAATAGAGACAAATAGAATGCGAAAAAGGTTCCTCTGTCTAAGTCAATTGAAACTGGACGTAGGCTAAATTCGGAAGTTGCTTGGATATAACTGTCCCATTAGGTAGTTCTCTGTTCAGGAATGTTATTTCAGTAGTAAAATATCTAATAGTTCCCAACCAATAATATTTATTATTGAATAACATTTACAGTAGGCCTTTTCTACATTCAAAGATCAAATTGAGTTTTCATAATAATACTGTAGTGTAAATAGGTAGTATCCGTTCCCTTTCATGTGTATATAGACATATGCCTTTTATAGCTTGAGACCGTGTTTTCACTAGCTTGTATACAGTACATTAAATAAGTGCTTTTCAATTTCAGCCTTGCAAGTCGTTTCACCAATCAGTACTAACCTCTAAATTGATGAACAAACATGATGAACAGAGTGTATCGATTCTGTGAGCGTATACCTCTTTAACATTAGACAAATACAAACATTTATGGAGTGTTTCTTTCATTAATAGCCTCTATGTCACCATCTCCTTCTCTTGCAGGGGTTTCTGACGCTACACTGGCAGACTGGGAGTCTCCTCGCTCTGCCTCCTGGGCCTTGGACTGTCCGTTGGTTACCGGATCACCATCACCATCCTTGTTTACGTCCTCACGGGTGCCACCGAGGGTTGAGCTCGAAGACTCGTCCTTATGATCTTTCTTCCACTTCATCCTCCGGTTCTGGAACCAGATTTTGATCTGGCGCTCAGTCAGGCAGAGCGCGTGTGCTATCTCCACGCGCCTCCGGCGGTTCAGGTACCGGTTGAAGTGGAATTCTTTCTCCAGCTCCAGTGTCTGGTACCGGGAGTAGGTCTGACGTCCACGCTTTCTGTTTGGATCTGAAAGAGAGAATGTTTTTAAACCATATACAGATGAAGGATCTGATCACTCTTTGGTTGCAGTGCAGGAAATGCAAACGTATTTGAGGTTTAAAAAGGCTTCTAAAGTTGGTAATTTCCACTATAAAATGCCAGGCTTGATTTGCCCTAACGAAAAATGTATCAAGCCCTACAAAAAATGTCCATTAATTATAAACCACATTATAATTCATATTTCCTGTTGCTGCAGGATTATTTTCATGCTTTAGCAAACTGGCTCAAATTAAGATCCTACATTTGTATATAGCATTTTCCCACTAGGTCCACGAATAAAAAATACTGCAAATTGCTCTAAAACCATGTTCTACACAAGCATGCCATATGTAATAACTCTGATAATAACTTGATATTGATAATGACACACATATGTGATCTTGCATTCTTGTATTTTTTTCTATAGAACTTAATCAAATAAAAAAAAGTCTGTCATTCTGTGTCATTTTTGCTAAGATGTATTTCTTTAAATGTTTTAGGACTGTCAGTGCTGTTTTGGCTCAGACTTCCTTCCGTTAAAAATATTCCAGCTTGGATTCTAGCCTGTAGCCTGTAGCTAATGCTAATGCACTGCATGCCTCTCCAATTAGAAGCATGTGTTTGTCTGCCACTACTAGGTCATACCCACAGCCCATAAGCAATTACTACTGCTATTTCATTGGTATTTATTAAACACTGTCCTGCCTACCAATTCCGTACTAACCAGCCACTATTATCAATACCACTGCTCCAACTAGAATACTGATATTATTTACACCCACCGCTATAGGTTAGTTATATCCCTGTGTACAAATAGGTTTCTGAAACTGATGCTGTTAATCACAACTGCCATTCTGAGGCCAATCAAAAGGGCGAACTGCAGAGCGCACGAGCAATGATTTACACTCCAACCTATAGCCTGGTATTTTACTGCCACAAAGAGTAGAAGAAGCAATAAGAAAGCAGAGGCAAAAAAAACCAGCGGCAAGTTCCCTGCGCAATGAACACTACAGAAGCGTAAGGATGATTAATTTATGTCCACAGAACTAATTACTTGCCCAATAAAAAAATATATTATTTCCATGCAATACCAATGTCTTCAAGCAATTAATTGCGCCATTAATTAAGACCAAGGTAAGTATCCCAACGTTTTGTAAATTCATTGACATTATAGCAGAGCTCTGCAGGAGTCAGGAAATACCCATGTTAGATCATACCTGATGTTCTCATCCAGGGGTACATCCGGTATTGTTTGTCCTCTGGCGAGGTGAGTGGACCTGGCCCCGGCTGGATGCAGCTGTCCCCGAACAGGCGGCTCTGGTCAAAGGAGCTGCAGTGCAGACTGTGCACCTCCGGCCCCTGGCCATAAGCAGGGGTAAACATCGGGGGGCTATGGTAAATAGCATTGTTGACGTTGTAAAGTCCGGACAGGGACGGTGGGAAGGCAGGGGCTGCGGCACTGTGAGGAGATGCGGGTCCTTCTCCACCGGGTCGAAGAGCGCACGAACCCCGGTCTGCGTTTGGGAAGAAAGAACCGGTCGCCGTATATTTGCTAAAAAGACCATCCACATAATAAGAGCTCATATTTTTTCCTTGTGATTTGTTGACCCAGAATCTTCACTGTCGTTTTTACGAGGTAGTGTGATAAATGACAGCAATACACCCTAGATTTACACCAAACCCCATTTTCCCCAGGACCAAAGAACTCACTCACGTGATCCAGCCCCGTGACCGCTGTAGCCAATCACCAGCGGGGCCAGAGATATCATTATGGCGCACAGACTGCAGAGTAGGATTAACACACACACGAACACAGACACACACACAGACACACACACACTCTTTCTCATCCCTTTGGACACACACCCTCTCATAAAAACTGGGAAACCAATACATATGAAATGACACAAAATACAATGTAATCGGCTCAAAAGAAATACCCTGTACTGTTGCAGTTATACCCTACTTTTCACAATACAGCATAATACCATCGTTTTCAACCCCTCATAACATCTGTAATTTATACACAACAAATAATATAAAACTGCATTGGGTATTTATTTAAATTATTTTCTTCAGTTCCTTCAAATAGCTCAAATTATCCGTGCTAAAACGGAACTGTATGTGATAGCCTACAACAAACATAAAAACATGATGATTATTGTATAAGGGCGGAGCACTAACTACACTTGTACATAGACAATTTTTTTATAAATTCAAAATAGAGTCAGAATATAGGTAGGCTACATTTGATTGCTTGCCATTATCAACTTTACAACAGTTTATTTGATATTATTGTGATTAAAATAATACCATTTACAATTGTAATCATTATCAATTGTATCCTATTTGAGTTACTGTTGTTGTTTAAAGAAAATATATTATAAACTGGGTGGTTCGAGCCCTGAATGTTGATTTGCTGACAGCCATGGTATATCGGACCATATACCACGGGTATGACAAAACATGTATTTTTACTGCTCTATTTATGTTGGTAACCAGTTTATAATAGCGGTAAGGCACCTCGGGGATTGTGGTATATGGCCAACATACCAAGGCTAAGGGCTGTATCCAGGCACTCCGCATTGTGTCTTGCATAAGAACAGCCCTTAGCCGTGGTATATTGGCCATATACCACAACCCTCGGGCCATATTGCTTGAATATAAAAGTACTTGTTGTAAGGAGTACAAGAAGCAAGTATTAGTGAAATATTTGAGAAAATTATTTTGAGTGGTAACCCTATGCTAGATTAAGCAAATGATTAAATAAAAACATAAAAGTTAGGTAAGCAAATTAAGTAAGTACATTTGAATTTTCAAAATGAACCACATTATTTGTAGGACTACATTTAGACTTCTACTGCATGTGTATTATCTAGCTTCCTTGGCGGTAGGCCTATTTGGAAATACTTTTTAAAAACTCCGAATTTATTTTGTTTTATCTGTAATAGGCTATGGCCTAATTTGGTCAAGTTTATGTATATTCTTTCCTATTCCACAATGTTGTCTGGAAAGAAACACAGGAGGGATAAAAAAAATAAAAATAATTCTGTATGCGGAGTTAATGAGCATATAACCATTTAGGCTAGATCTAATACCACCAAATATACTCTATCTGATTTTTCAATATGCTATATCATATTATTCCAAAATTGAAAGCAAATTGAACCCAAATCTCACCAAATAGCTACCTGTGTAAGACTATATTGCAAATGTTGAATATGAATAATAATTCTGAAAAAAAGGAAAATAGTTTTCCACTGACTTTACAAAAGGTAATTGCATCTTGTACTATGAATCATATGTTGATCATGTATGATAATTCAGTTTATTAAACACTACTTGTGTTAAGAATTCCTATAGGCCTAACCTAAAGATTAAAATAAACGCATTCTAACTATAAAAAATAGGCCTACTAAAAGCCTGTTTTCTTTAAAGACAATCTAACACTAAACGTTAATTGCCCAATAAAATGTACCCCTCCTAATTGTCTTGATTGTCAATTCATTTGACAGGTAGAACAACTAAGTTTTAGGTTTCTTTGTGTAGAAAATGTACAGATACCCATACAAAATGTTGTGTATAACTAGACTAAGGCCTACTATTTCGTTTATTTTTATTAGTCTATATATGATTAAATACTGCCCTGGATGTGCCTACGACCACAAGAGCTAATAATATTATGATAACATTTATAAGAACAATCAACAATTAGAATGACAATGTTATAGCACGAAGATTATGCAGGAAAAGGTTGCATCAACATATTAGGCCTAAACATGTCTAAACGTTGTATTCCTGGTGAGCGCACTCTATTCGTAAACATTCCTTAACGTGGAATTAGACTTGCATTGCAAAACCGTAGGCAGGGTGTAAAATCACTTTGTTCCACTCTTAAAATGTTTTGTTCCTGCGAGAGTATTCATGAAGGGAAAGCGTTAAAAAAAAGAGCAATTCTGAGCCTTGTTATGGAACATCAGCGCCATCCTCTGGTCACTACACTTAGCTGCAGGGTGGAAAAGGTGCAATGCGCACAGAACTGCAATCACAGCCACCCCCCTTAGGGGCCAAATAGAAACAAATCACATAAAGGAATGTGATGAATGTAGACTCTGTGGCATTCATTGCGTGCGGTACTATTCCTACACAGAATGCAGATTTCGAGGTCCAATGATGAGCATCGAGAATAGTGTATCTAAAATGTCCATGTTGGCCTCATATACACTGAGACTAGGTCTTGCCTCACATAATGTTGTTGCTTTATTGCCCTTCCTGTTCCTCTAGCGAATGAACAGAACACTAGCTACCACCAGAGAAATGGAGCGAGAACGTTTCCCAGGCCAGGTAGAAACAAAGGGGCGCTCGAGATGACCATGAGTCGCGCGAGCAACAGTCGGGGAGACGCCAATAAAGCTGATGATTTCCGCTAGGCCTTTTGTCCATGCTGCAGTCCCACAGAAAGAGAAAAAACAAATGGGTGCCGAGTTCTGGAAACGACCTAATTGTGTCTGGACGGCCATAAAGCCATTAAAAGTGGAATGCCAGACAGTATAGCAGACCAGGCGTTTTATTGCTCTCTCTCTCTGGCCCAGCCTTTGATGTTTGGTGTCCATCTGGGTCCTCGAGGCCGAGCTCGTCACAACACCACTATATGGCTCCATGCAACTACTACAGGCCTGTTTGTATTCAAATATATTTGCATGCATTATGTGAATGATGTTGTCTGATGAAAGAAGGGTGGTTCTGTGATTATGTAGTTTTGCCAAGGTCCAGTTGTAGCCTATTCCACATGTATCTATCATTTCAACTGTTATTATTATTTGGCACACCGCAGACTTAGGATAACTTCTCTATGCCTATAGGCCAAAGGCTTGCGGAAGCAGGCTCACCTCAATAACTAATTTCTTGACACAAATGTTAAATAGAAGTTCAAATTAAATAGCTTGTGATATGAATACCACCACCACAGCAAAATTCCATATAGTACAGTCCCTCCTTGAACACTCAATACCTTTGACCTCCCTCCCCTTCTCATGTTTCAGGTTTTAAAACTAAACTGAGCGGTGGTGTCATATCATAGCTGAAGAACACATATCCTACAGACCTCAGCTGTCGAAGCTTTCGACATCTTTCTTGTGTTGTGTCCTCTCGCCTTGCAGCGCTTTGCACCCCATAAACGGTTATAGTGGTAATTGTATTTTATGGCTGTATACAACTAACAACGTCCTCTGCCAAGGCGCGCGGAACAGAGCAGAGCAGAGCAGCAAGCACCGACCAACGCCCCCCCCCCCCCCCCCCCCCCCTTCACATTATTAGATAAGCCGCGACATTTCAAAGTCAAAGACTTGAATTTCCTTAACGGATTCGATTGCTATTATTACCTGGTTTACATTACTCCATTAATAGTTTTTTATTGGAGTATTATTCCAATATTTTGTTGGAGAGAAAATATAAGTGCAAACTAATGTAAAGGTACATTTGGTAGGATGCAATACATTTTACTGTCAATATATTTAATAATTTAATAATTTATTGAATTAAACCTTAGATTACAGTGAAATGTAAATGCACAAGAAATGATAAGAACTCATTCGCAGATATCATTTGTTTTATTCAATAAATAAAGTACAAATTACATTTGAGAACCAAACATCTGAACGTCTCCAGACCATGAGGTATTCAGAACGTTGCCTCCAGTGTTTTTTAAATGTCCCCCTCTCTCTCTCTCTCTCTCTCTCTCTCTCTCTCTCTCTCTCTCTCTCTCTCTCTCTAACCAATATGTCCTCTAAAATGTTACTCCCTGAAATTCAGACATAGTGCCCTATCTATACAAGCATTATGTTTCTTCATAAATGAAATAGGTTCTTGCAATTATAGGTAGTTGATAGACGTCTAGGTAGTCAACACAATATAATTGTTATGTAGCTTCTAGTAATATTATCAATAGGTCCATATGCATTTTAAAGAGGTTTATGATACCCCTGCACCCACTTCAAAATGCTACCATCACGTTAGCAGTCAGACATTAGCCTATCGCTCCAACGTTAGATCATAACTCAACGTTACCAGTAATTGAAATAATGACAAGAAGAAAAAAAACGAAATCACATTTTAAACTAAATTCAGTTGAACTGGAAATACACATATCTACAAACCAGAGAACACACACATAGCTACAAACATCCATACACAAACGAGCACAGAGAACAGGCCTACTAATACACGTCTTACACAATGACACTTGCAGCCGAGGCCTTAACTAATTAACATCCTAATAACAATAACAAAACAATTATGCGCACTGTTAAATTGTGCAATATAAAGGTAGTTGCATCAAACCGACGAGTAGAGCCGGACATGCTTTTTACAAGACACATAACAGCTTCTGTTTGGAATAAAACAATAAGAGAAAGACTTTAAAAAATACAGTTTTTTCACAGATATGCCTTATTTGTGATATTTTTTACGTTATCATTCAATCAATCATAGGTACCTATAAATCATCCTTTGGTCCACCATCTTTATTAAATTTCTTCATCTTCATTCTGCGGTTCTGAAACCAGATTTTGACCTGTCTGTCCGTAAGGTTGAGCTGCCTCGCGACCTCGAACCTACGGTCCCGCGTGAGGTACGTGTTAAAGAGGAACTCTTTCTCCAGCTCAAGGATCTGGTGCTTGGTGTATGGACAGCGCTTTTTTCTCGTGGCGCTTGCGTGGAGCCAGTTAGATACCGGGTTATCTGGAGAGAGGGGGTGCGAGACGAGACTGGTGTGAGCCCGGTGCTGCTGGCCCAGATGTAATAAAAACACATGACCCACAAGGGACGAGGCTGATGACAAAAACTCTGGATATCAATTCTGGATATACAAATGTGTTCCAAAGTAGCAATGCACTCCTATACCTGACTGTTGCTGCTGTTTAAAATATGAAACCCATAGTATCAGAACATGGAAACGAGTGAGAGAAAGCTAGCCTATTATCAAGTCCCTATAAATGGCACGCCTCGAATGACATATTTTCAAACACGCGCCCCCTCCACTACTCACACATTTCTACCTGCATCCCCGCAGCTTTACAGAACATAGCATGACCAAATGTAAACGGATGAAGCAGCACTTACTTGGATCGAGGGCCGGTTTCTCTTCTATCTCCCCGTTCAGGTTCGCGGTCTGGCCAGATAGTGTGTCCTTGTCCACCGGGGACGCCGTCGCCACCGTCCCGTTGGCGAAGTCGGACAGGAGCAGTGCGGTGTGGGATCCAGGCAGCGCACTGTCCACTCGCGCGCCCAGGCTCTCCGGTTTGACCCCGTAGTGATGACTTGTCGGTAATCCGGTCAAAGGCAAGGACCCTGAAATGGGCTCAAGCAGCCAGGACTGCATGTAGCGACCCTCCACGTCACCTGGAGCCGGGCCTTGGTGATTCCCATACGGGTGGTGGTACACAGATGACACGGCGCCTGGAAACTGGGTCGATACATGGCCCCAGGACGGGCTGAAGACCGGGGCTTTGGTTGGGAAGGTGCAGGGCCCATGCTCGGTGTGATCGGTGAGCGAGGTGAGCTGCCTCGCATGCTGGAGCCCCCCCGGACCGGAGGGGTATCTGGGCGCGGAGAGCTCCTCGCTCTCGGGAAAGATGAGGGAGTCGACGTAGTAGCTAGTCAACGTTCCAGATGTCGACATGGCAAAAGAGACTTTCACATGTACGCACACATACACAGATACATACAAAAACAAGCGCGCCACACGCGCCACACACACATACACACGCACTAAACCCCACTTTTACAAAATAACAATCTGAAGAAATCAAGTATAGCAACTTGGCACCACAAAGATCTACAGTCGACTAATAGTTGGGAAGCAGAGCTGCCATTCGATTGGGTGACGCGTGCACGTGATCATAAAGGCTGAACAATAAAGGATAAATCAATCCCTTTGGCTATTAAATGCTCGAGGGTCTCTGTCTTAAAACGTAACAATGTCTAGTTTTAAAAGCAAATTATTATTATTTTATACAATTACTGCTGATATAAATGTAGGGCTATGGAAAGGGAGAGTAGGCTAAACTAAAATACCATTGGAAGTATCTGTCCCTTTAGTATAGGTCAGTAAATCCAATAAATAATTATCCCAAAACACACATTTAACGAGTATATTTACACATATGTTATAGGGTAATAAGCATTGCCAATGATACTCACAACAAAACATACAGCGGCTGAACTTAACCAGGATAACGCCGACATATTGGGGCTTATTAACGAAACCAAATGTCATAAACTGCATTCTTTCTATGGCGCCAAGGAATGTAAATTATTCAGATATACTTCCTTAAAACTAATGCTCTGGGTAGCTTTCCATCGTAGTATGTAACCTCTTTCATCTTCTGTGAAAATGTTCAAACCTTTCATATTTTCATTATCAAGAAATATTTATTCGAACCAGACAAAGTTATGGCCGAACCTACAACATTCCAAAATTAAAAAGCTTTTACGCACACACCCCATTAAAGATAAGCTTATAAAGGTGTGCTGTATCATGCTATTTTGTGTAGCCTTAGTTTGGTATTATACAATAATAACCTAATATAATATAAGTTTAAAGCCTAATAGAACCAAAAGTCTGCTGAGAATAATATCTGACTAGTTTCATTTGTTATTTCATCAACGTCCTATGACATTGTTATTAAATCGCCTATTTGGAGAAAAATTATAACATTACTCAGTAAAAGTCATATTATTTTCAGCAGCAGAATATGGAAAAATTTAAATTCGTAAAGCTATTTTTATATTTAACATATTTTTTATATTGAATAGAAATGTGTGTTGGCATAGTAGTAGGTCTACCCGGTCATGTTAACGTATTTACTGCTGCCTTTAAAAATAAAGACATTTGGAAATAATCATATTACTGTTCTAGTCTAATATTATATTCGTATATCCATGGATATGAAAAAAGCTTGTGCATCCAGGATAGCCTAAATTCTGGTTATTAAACAGAACCGAGGAATTAAACAACAATGTTCTATTACAGAAAATATATTAATTCAATCAATAACCTACGTGGAAATAGCCTAATTGTGGCATATTTAAACAGTTAAGATTAAACAAAATAAGCGACAATTGTGGATATTCGTCGTGGAAAATAGTATGAACGTAGTAGTGCACGTCGACCTATAGCCTACCTGGCTTCTTTTTCAAATACAAATACTTTACCACTGTTACTAAGAATTAGCCTACAAATATTATTTATATCCAACTATTACTAGGAGTGCTATAAGCCTACTATAAGGCCACTATCATAATTAGGACCCTGTCTTTTGGTTGACCTGGATTTTAACCTTTATTTAAAGTTTTATATATATATATATATATATATATATATATATATATATATATATATATATATATATATATATAAAGTACCATCCTCAGACAATTCCTTTCATTTTTGTTCTAATTCTCATTTCTGGAAAAGGCTTCAAATAAAGGTTAAAATCCAGGTCATGTGACATGATCAACCAAAACACCACTAGCAATTACCACTAGCACTACTACAAATAGGATACCAGCACAACAGTGCCAATTAAGGAAGACACTATGGCTAAAGAAAACAACAATACACTATTAAGTAAAAAAAATAAAAACGCTAACAAAGATAGCATAATGTACAAAAGCCGTTGAGTTTCCCTCATAAAAGTGTGAGATACCTCGTGAGAAAAACATGCAACTAATAGATAATTTAATAGATAGTTTAGGGGTTGTTTATTTCATTATTCAGACACATAGATCACGTTCTAATCAAATTTGAAAGCAGAAATAAAACTCGTTTTCAGAAACCAAACAACAACGCTCAATGGACATGTAAATACAATACAAACTAACACATATAATTCAACAAGAGCCGAGGAGAAGCTTACTGAACATGCACCATAAGTCTGGATACAATATGATAAAATCTGAACTAGTATCAAGAGAGGAAATGACGGCATAACACGTTGTAACACTTCACAGACATGTTCTCGAACCTTGCCCTCCCATAGGTTTAGAGAACCGTGAGAGTATAGCCCACAGAATGTGTTCTATTTATTACCATCAAATAAAACTGAAAGCTAGGCCAACACTCTACAGGCCACAGGCGATTGACTACTGCTAAAGAATCCACTCCAGCCTATTTTCCCATACTGAATTTAAAAAAACTGTATAACACACACCAATAACTGAAAAGATAGGCGTTCATCTACCTGGAACGTATTGGGCCTACCACCGTGCATAATCAGATAAGGCTTGGTGAAAATGTGTTAGAGACATTAGCACAAAATAAAGAGGCTAGGTAAAGGCTATGCGCACTTAAACACAGCACAGACAGGCACCTTCAAAAGAAAAAAAGGACACACAAGTGAATGCAATGGCACTTTAAGGCTGTAAACTAAATCAGGGTGTTTTTACCACGGACCCAGTTTACCGCAGGGGTTATTCACTTATTTTGCCCGCAGATAACAGCTTGTCTGGCGGATCTAAATATCGCCATAAAGCCCTTCCCCTCTTTTGTGTCCGGGCTGTATTGCGCAGCGGAAGCATCCGGTTCAATTGCCCACCGGCGCGCCGCTGAGGTCGCTGTTGCCCACTCAACTTCCCCTTCCACTCCAATGCAGTGGTCGTAACCGAGGCCTTGTCTGGCATCGCTGCGTCACGACTGACAGAAAACATGCTTATCTATACGCTAAATCCAAGTCCAACTCGCCTATGGCTGAGCTTTTACCAAGATAAATATAGGATTCAGGGGCTTAATTTAACGACGAAAAATAACAAGTAGAGTTTGTATAAATATTACTGACGATATGTTAAGAGAAATACACGACAGCAAGTCTTTCTCAACAGCTAAAGGCAATGAGAAATGCCCTATTTTGTATCCATATATTTATGGAAACACAAATTACACTCCATCCTATTGCATAAAATTCAATCAGATTTCATGTGTCCCAGACTAAGTTGACTGATGTTTCGATGTATTAAACTGGGCCAATTCAGACAGTTTCGTGTTGTAGAGGTAGAACATGGATCCCAACAACATGAAACTACCTAAATCACTCCACAGTCCGCTCCAGGCCTCAAGACGCACAGCAGCCAATGCATAACGCCACGTCTTCTTCGGTTTTCATATCGATTTCAAACACCAATGCTGTCCATAACGGGCCTGTATTGAAAGTACAATGTTCATTCATGTTCAGTATCAAATCTTTGCACTGGAAACTGTCTTTTTTTTTTTTACATGTTGAGTCCCGAAAACACAAATCCCGAACAACAAATTGACTTACCCATTCATCGAAGTTATTCCACTATTCCAATCACAAAATAAAAGAGGATGACTTTTCCAAAAATGCCTAAATACAGTATAACTTTCTACCACTGTCTATAGCCTCCTCTCCGGCTAAACGTCTCTCTCTCGACTGAAGTCAGTCTTTGTGGAGAGCGAGAATCGTCATAAACGAGCAAGTCATAAAACTCTACAAAAGCCGGCTAGGCTTGCAGCGTTATAGGCCTATGCCAATACGACCTAGACATATTATGACTGGTGTCATATCTAAATCGTTTCCGAGAGCTACTCCATGGATCCTAAAAACATTTCTGAAGGGATAGGCAACAGCCAAACAATGTGCAACCCAAAGAGCACCTACAACCTCAAATGGGGTTCAATAACCTGTCCAAAATGCCTATACTATTTTACAGAAAAGAAATAGCGAGAAATACAGATGTATAAACACGGACTTCAAAAACCATACTAATCCAGTATATGTGAACTGATAATTTATTACACAATACACAAAAACACAACCTCATATGTACATAATGAAATACACAATAAAAACATTTTCACAATGTAGACTGCTCATGTACATTTCCCTTAGTTCGAGTCTACACAACAATATTATCCTCAACTCATCATAATATATCGGAACAATACATTTAAAGGGCGATTTATCTTATTCCCTTACTGTTGATAGATATGCCTTGATCCACATTGCAAAATGCAGGAAAAGAGGAGTCTGAATCATGTTGTTTCATGCAATCTAAATTTTAAAGAAACTCCACAAATATATGGAATATATGGAATATATTTGTAAAACCCAATCGTGATTTATATGTGTAGCTCCAATTTAGATAAAATGTCATCCATTATTTTAGTCAAGACACCTATTCCAACAAGTGACAGCAATAACAGAACCGAATTAACGAACAATTAACAAAAACAAAAAACAACAAAAAACAACCCATAACATTCACGTTTTACCAGTAGCTTATACAGGACGATGCAAAGGCTTGCCTGTAGGCCTATTAACGATGTACCCTTTTCAACTTGCATTATAACTAAAGCTCATTCAGTGTTATCACGAAAAACCGAAATTTGACGTGAGCTCCCGAATCCTGTTTTCCCGGGTCATTTTCTTCAGTTTCATTCTGCGATTCTGGAACCATATTTTGACCTGCCTGTCGGTCAGGTGCACGCTCCTACTGATCTCTAGGCGACGCTCGCGAGTCAGGTACATGTTGAAGAGGAACTCCTTCTCGAGCTCCAGTGTCTGGTGTTTGGTGTATGGGCAACGTTTCTTCCGGCCGCTTTTTGCTGTTAACCAGTTGGCCGTGCTCTCGCTTTTTGAGTCTCCTAAAGGAAATGGTAGATACATGATTTTAGGCTGACAGCTATGTATGTAAGATAGGCCGCGCGCGTGCGCGCGTGCATGCGTGTGTGTGTGTGTGTGTGTTTGTGTGTGTGTAGTATGTGTGTGTTGTGCAGGTCATTGGGTTGATATAGGCCTTTCCATAAGGAATAGTTCAACGGTCTTGTGTACTTTGCTTGAACTTAAAACATGTGCAGGTAATAACTCAAAAATATTATATGAAATGTATAACATTTTATATCATTTTAGACCTATTACAATAAGAACAAATATCAACGGCCAAAAATAAAAACACGCTTTTAGTAGCCTATTTGTTTATGGATAGACATAGCCTACGAATGTTAGGCATATATTGAGCGGCAGTCAAGTACTTTTTTGTCTAAAGAAACAAGGGCCTAAAATGTAAAATCTATGATAAACCTATAGCCTAAGCCTAAACAAATAATTACATGTACTTTTTATAATAACATTACTTTTTTACTGAATTGCTTCTATTCTTTTTTACAAACTTTTCATACCCGCTTGACTCTAAGGCAGTGAAATATTCTCAACTAAAGCATGGTGTCTCCTCTGCCACATATAGACCATATATAAACCCTGTGTAAAAACCAACACCTAAATGACCTCAAAATGCTAAAGCAGAAACCAGTCTCTCGGCAGGTGTTATAATCTTTTAATTTGTCGCCATACCTGTTTCACTATACAGCATGCAATAAACCAACCGTGGCAGAGTGAGTGACCACACCTTTACATTATCTCAGCTCAGCTCACCTTTAGTCGTTTTCACTGACTTTTCCTTCTCGAGCTCCACTTCAGCTTCCTCGGGAGAGGAAGGTTCCCCGTCGGAGGACGCTCGCGTCTCCTCGTCCCCCAGTACGGCGTTCGTCTGCTGGGGCTTGGGCGCGTTACCGGAGGGCAGAGCCTCCTCGGTGTCTCTCCTCTCGTGCTCCGCCGTGGCTGAGCAGGCTAAAGCTGAGGACAGCTGGGGTGTCGGAGTGTGGAAGCGAGTCGGTGCAGTGGGGTGTAGGCCAAAGTGAGAATGAGAGGGGTTAGATTGGGCACCGTGGTAAACTTTATGAGAGTGTGCGTGAGTCTGAGACAAGCGGAAGTAGCCGGGCACGGGTACAGTACCCCCACCACCGCCACCGTCAGTGACTGTGCACGAGCCTGAACCGGAGCCCGTTGTGGTTAGCCTCGAGTATGTCAGGTCTTCGGCTGTTGAGGCTTTGGGGCACTTCTGCGGTTCGTAGAGACAGTACGCGCTCTCCTCCTTAATGCTCTGCGGGAACGAGCAGGGCGCGACCTGAGGACCCACAGTTTGTTGCTGGTCCATTCCGTCCATTCTGCACGACCTCTGCGCGTCCATCCACATCTCCATGCCTGACATATACGCGCCTGACGCGGCAGACATCATGTTATGGGGACCTGCGTTGCTCCGCTTGCCTATGCCAGGGAAGTATCCACAGCTCTGTAGTCCGTAGGGCACCTCTGAGGCGGCGTTATGGGGCAGACACACGCCGCTGCCCGGGTAGTAGTGTCCCCCTACACCCTCGGTCCGACCGCTGATGAGAGAATCCACTAAAAACGCGTTTCCTGCGGGGCTGTCTGAGCATGACATTATTGTAGTGTATTTTGGCGAGGGGAGAAGATAGCCCTTTCTGGCTGACATTTCTTGTGCAAAACATGCTGGATATGATTAGAGGTACCCCCCTCTCCACCGTGCAGACTCTGGAGCCAATAGGAACGCTCGGATACGCAGAGCCCCTCCCCATCCACAACCACGTAGCAGCCGGAGCCATCATAGGTCTGAGGCATAGAAAGGAGACAGCACAGCAATCAGTGCGTTTCTCTCACCTCGCTTTAATGCACCACCGTAGCGCCGACGGGGCGAGGCCCTATGTGCAGAATGCAAACATTCGAAAATAAAAAGTAGTCTATGCGCGCCCATGCATGCGCAAAGGGGAGTTCTGCAGCATATGTTTCCTATCAACTATCAACTCGGTTTGCAGCATTACGAGAAGTGCGTCTTAGCTCCTATTATTTTGAACTGTGCGTAAAATAAAATAAGCATAAGGTCATATCAAATGATTCGTTTGTCTTAAGCCCTATGGCTCCCTATGGCTCTCTATAATTAATTCTTTATATGCGTACATTTCACAAAAGAAGACAAAATGGAAACCATTTTCGCTTCAAATAAGACATGCTCAGACGCAACAACAGGAGCAATAAAGGCAAGCCTATATAACCTACCAAGTAATGGCGTATTCACCTCATCGTTATAACATAATTAATATTAAACAAATTACAAAAAGTATTTTAAACCCTGTTTTACACTGTAGGTTAGTGACCTTTAAAGATGACATTGCAAAAGTTTAGAGACTTCAAGTGCTACATCATTCAACTGCAGATATGGCTATGCGTTCTTCCTGTACTAAAATGAGAGGTTTACAAGGTTTAACAGCCCTCAGATGCTGTGTAATCGATACTAGACTAGATACAACTAGGCTACATTTACACCTTATAGCTAATTTAAAATGAACGTTCTATATGTATCTAATGGAAAAGTAATACCAGCACATTAGTTCATATTAAACCAAATCAAATAAACAACCACTTTGCAAGTCATTCGCGCCTATAGCCTACACCTTTTCAGGCGCACACATGTCACAATCCTCACCAATTGTAAATGACAACTGTAAGTCAACATTAAGGTTCTCATCAGGTTCAAACAGCTATAGCAAACAGGGCGTAAACAAGACGGCTACACTTTCCTTTACAGTGCTTTAATATAACATAGATCACTGCGTGGGTCTAATTAATTGACAAGTCAATGGATTGCAGAGAAATAAAACACCGAGGAAGGTAGCAGGCCTAATTACCAGGAACATTATACGCTTTCTGCACGGCAATTTTCTCGGTGTTCAAAACACCCGTTTCTTCTAGATCTATTTTATATATAAGATATACACATGGGGATATGAAAATAGACTGTCTATATCCGACTCAAATAGCAGCACTAGATGATTTTTGGGTGTCTGGTTAATTCTAAATCATTGTCAATTTAGCATCGAAGGATGATGGAGTAACGCCTACTGATGTGAGTGGTTACTAATAGGCCTATGTGTAGCCTAATAGCGTGTTACAAAGGCATTGTAAAAGCAAACTATGGATGCAGATAATTAAAATGCGTTTATCAAATATAAAGGTGTGCCATGTCCTATATGAACCTACGCATTTCTTATTCACACAATTCACCATACGCGTAAAATACCTTTGTGGGCATCTAATTTACATGCTGTTTCAACAATAACAATACTTTTTTCTCCATTTTGCCTTGAGATGGACACCACAGGGTGAAAACAGAGCCTGATGGCCACAAGCCACCTGGCCCTGGTAATGGTCAAAACTGGCCGAGATTAACTTCAACCTGGGGAGAGAGCGAGAGAGGCGAAGCACATGGCAATGGACGCAACCAAATGGAGGGAGACCAGTTGTGGCCCTATAATACCCCAGAGACAATGGGAATAACCTGAGCAAGTAAGTAAACATGGTCATTTAACCCCCCAAAACACTAACGTGGCATTAAATGTAGACCTATAACCAATTTCTGCATCGTTGCTATAGGCCTATAGTTGTGGTTTAGGTCTAGTGGGATAATAGTTCGGTGGTAAAATAAATAATATTTAAAATTACACTGTCAGGAAAAATTACATCTTATTCAATATGTCTCCCAATTAAACATAGAAGTGAAACTGGTAATAGTTTATTCAATTCTAAAGTATAAGGAACGAAAATGTTTATATGGTGCATAACTGGGGTTGACTATATATTCTGTATATATGGGGGGGAAAGTCCGTGCACCGACCATTTATTTGCCTGTTCTATTTATTTGCCTGTTGCGTTCCATTACGAGTGAACTTAACTACCAGACAAACCAGCAAAAACACCATCAGCAAAAAAAATTAATATATATATGATCTTATGAAATATCAGCCATTCGAAATTCAATACTTAATGTTGACGTTAATTAATTCTGTGCACATGCAGCTCTGAAACAGTTCTAGTCAGCACACACACACCACGCTCCTGTATTGACGTGTAGCCTAGGCCTATCAGTTATATCTCCGTGTTACAGTTATTAGCCAAATTGTGGCTATTAAATCTTCATTTCACAGCTGTCCAGCTATCATTTCCACCAAAACAGTTTACTCTGAACAACGCTTTGATCAACCTCATATAATGGTGGCCGGGGAGGCCGTTTCGGACGGATCATGTTCGTCGCGAGTGCAGTTATGAACAATAATGCAGAGTTTTATTACATCCAGCGGAAACATTTATTTTCACGAGAGACAAAGGATTAGTAGAGGGGTGTCCACGCGCATTCAAGAGCCGTGGAGAACCCCATTCGCGCCTTGGACTGATACCGAATATCTCCCCCTCTCTTTAGCTTTCTATAAGAGGAACACGTTTCTGGCGTATCACAATCAAACCTACTTTTTCAATCACATCATTTACACTTTTGGCACGGTCCAGAGAGTAATGCCTTCTGGAAGGACACCAAATGCAGATTGGTTCCAAAATAGCCCAGCTATGGGTGAGAGTGGTGATTTCATAAGTGATTGTTGTGATTTAAGAGGGCCTACATTAGCTCCAGATCATTATCAGAAAGAAAAAAAACATTAATTATATAAACCCAATTAAACACCCACTAACTGAATATTTAATGATAAACTACTTTAGAAAAGACATTCACTCCCCTCTTTCCATGATTGTGAACAAATACTTTCAGCCTGTAATAACCTCGATATCTTAAAGTAGGCCTGTTCTACTGGATATTTTGGGCAGATATTTCACGGTATATTTTTGGGCCATGCTCATACATGTCAAATACACAAGCCTAACAAAATTAGCAGAGCACAAAAGAAGTCTGTCAGCATCGCACATGTGTTGCTAGGCTACTACATTTAATATCTTAGCTAGGCTCTCTACAATTCTACTGGCAATCATGTTCTACTACTGACCACCATATTGAATGTGCAACCTAAAGATTAAAACAGCTAAAAGTGGTGCTTAAATTATTTTTTCAAATAATCTCCTTCTGAAAACAGGAAAAGCCAGCTCTCTCACAGAGTATGAGGCTATGTAGGCTAAGTTCTTTGTTCGAGAAAATGTACCTGCATTGCAAGTTTCCCTCGAGAATGTTGAAGGTTTATTTTGCTGGGTTCGAGTTCTTGCAGACAAAAAGATCCACGACAATGACATTGATTTCAACAGCGCCGCCCTGTGGCAGGAAGAAGCGTCTCCGATTGAGCACAAACCCCATGGCCACTACTCTGATCCAAGGAGGACAACCTGCGAGGAGGGAAAAGCCCTCTCAAATGAAGTCGAAGCCGCCAGTGAGCAGAGGCCTTTCCTATCCGTCCTCTCCCCTGTCTTCGCTCTCACCTCCTTGGTAACAGAGTTGATAACCTTGGGTCTCAGACGGTTTATTGCACTGCACTCCAATTGTACAAATGCTCCAGACTCTCAGACAGATTTTATGGCCGCGTTGCTGCAGCAACCGGGAGGATGTCCAGTAATTAGGGACGGAATTCCAGCGCGCAGTAAAGGATGCGCCAGGCGAGGCAAGGCCGGACTATGCCGGAGAGAGGCAACCATAAACTTCAGCCTCTCTCTCCCCGCGTTTATGGCCCTTTTGACTGTCACATATGAACGCCATTGCGCTGCTGCTGGTACTCATAAACAGAGTGATAATAAGAGCAAATATGGCGATGCTCGCTTAGGAGGATGTTGTGGAAGAACGGGTGGTTTTAATCCAATCCGTGAGAGACACAAGTAGGTAAATGAAAATGAGATGCACATGGTGACTGTATTCGGCTTGTTTACCACAGTGTTGTGGATAATTGAGACAAAAATATTCAAAGTTCAAAGCCAATAAATGAACTCCATTGAATGATAAGCCTGTATGATGGTAGCCTATACGTCAGTGCCGAGTTCAAAACAAATAGTTCCATGTTGTCACCCTATACAATTGCAATGAATATACACCCTATACAATTGCAATGAATATACACCCTATACAATTGCAATTGCAAAAAAAAAAATGTAAATGCAATGAGCAAAGGTCATTAGAAAATACAAACTGACACAAATAAGAAATAGTAGCCTAATATTTAGGTGCATATCAACATTTACGATGAGTAAGTAATATTGGTAGCTTGATGAAATATTGGTATTAACCAATCAATCGCTAACATAAATATCGCTTACATGAATAAGGTTTCACATTCGAGTAAATTACTCTTTAACATAATTCCAAATGTTGGATGTATAATCTACCTCTTCCATGAATTAACAAAACAGTTTGAACTATTTAAATTGCATTTTCTTGTCTTATTTCTTTGTGCGTAAAATGTTTTGAGTTGTGCGTAAAAGGCCTGTGCGAAGGTAAAGCATGCGGAAATAACAGCTTTCAAAATGGTTTCGAGTCTGAGTACAATAACCAGTCACATTTGTACATTCCTTCAAAAATCTTTCAATTTTTAATTTCGAAATATAGGATAATACAGAATATTTGGGGCATACCAAGCAATTGATCCAAGATTATGTCCCTGACAGTACATTTCAAAACGCATTTCACGTTCATGTTACTGCAACAGAAAACAAAAAGACCTGTGAATAACATAAAGAAATATTTCGTCCTATTTGAAAAAAACCTGGATGCATATTGGCTGAATCTGGGTATCGAAAGATTGCGGTCTTGTTGCATTCAAGGCCTGTATTAACAACAGGCGTGTCGCAATGCAACAATTCGGCTATAGGCTACAATGAGGCTGAACAAGCTTATATCTGGTTCTGTCTGTATAGGGTTAATATTCTTCTTATTGGGTTTGTCCGTGCATTAACATCAAATTCAAAGCCAAATTAAGTGTGGTAATGAAGTATACAAAATATAAACAAACGTTACTACATGTGTTGTGTTGAAACTATTACAGTGGTAGCAATGGCCTAGTCACGGTTTGGGGTCAACACAATTTAACACCGAGTCCTTATTCTTTTTCTGATATAGCTTTGCAGTTGGTATTCTTTTAAAAGTGATAGGAAATCAGTGGCTGCAAAATAAATAAACCTTACACACAGAGACAATTTACAATCGCGCCCTTCCAAGTCTCATTATTAGGGCACACCAATTCATTAATTAAAGTCATAGCCTCAATTATTAAATGCACAACATCACATATTGTCTGCCAACAAGAAACCTATACCACGTCACCACTCGTACGATTTTACTAACAGAAAACGTAATTTACAAGAGGACTTTTGATTACAAAATGCTCCCGGTTCAGTCATTGTTAGACTGGTAAGGCTGTTCGCGCTTCGAGGCGAAAATGAAGGCTATAGGCCTACAGTGTCACAATAATATTAGGATACACAAGAAACATAGTCTTGGTGAGGACAAAATCCGAAGAAATATATTTTTTAAACAAAGTCTGATGGCCAAAATGCCATCAATGTGTCAATTTAAATCATGCTCGTTCTCAAACTGATGGAAATCAGTAGCGATTCTGCTGCCTGTCCTCGAACTTGAAATTAACAGTTGAGCATCGTGTTGCAGCTGTAGACGTTGTTGTTGTGTTGTTGCTACTGCTGCCACAAACGTCAGGGGAAAGAGACCACAGCGAGTCAATAAGTCTGTAAACGCATATGACAAGTCACACCTAAAGCAGCGGGTTCGTGGTGTAATACTGTAATCTGTCTCTGTTTAATTTCTTTTCCTTCATTCTTCGGTTCTGAAACCAGATTTTCACTTGGCGGTCGGTGAGGTTCAGCATACGAGAAAGCTGGAGTCTTTTCTCTTTGTTGATATACACACTGAAAAAGAACTCCCTCTCCAGTTCTCGGATCTGATATTTTGTATAAGGACATCTTTTCTTACGAGTCCTCTGTCCATCTAGAAGAGAGAAGAGAAGAGAATGTCGGTCACAAAAAAATACAAAAAGCTCAAATTATCCATGACTATGTTCTAGGATTTATAGGCATTGTTATAGGCTTTTAGGTAGTCTATAATTGCGCATTGACCAAATCAATACGACGAAAAATATTGTTATTGCCTCTTTTCATTTCTATATCTTAATTATGCAGTAATTCAATTACAATTACAATATGAAGCCAGTGTTCGTATCCACAACACTGCATATGCTATGCATGATCACTGACAGTTTTCAGCATGCATGTAAGGCTATAGACGAAATGCAATTAATCATAAAATAATATCAACAGTAATAACTCATCAATAGATGAAATTTGATCAGCTTCTTGATTTCTCACATCAGGAACATGACAAATAGCATACTAGTGCAACACACAAACTGCCTGATTGCTTTAACGCACCAGCTCCAATGTCCTAACCCTTAAACCAGAGGCACCCCCCTCATTACAAGCAAGTAAGTGCTATTTTAACGCCAAGAAACCGTGAAACTAGGCTACATTTATGTGCGACCAGGAGTATTAGGTCTACGTTATAATTCACAGTAATAACTACGTGCTTTTTAAAAACTTTAGGGAGTGTTAAGAAAAATCACTCGTTTTGATTTCTTTCACGGCCAATTTCAATTCCAAGCACGTGATCCTGAAGTTTATAACAAAGTTTTGTTGGGGAAATCTACAGGCCCTCTATAAACCTTATACGCTTATAAAACACCATATAAAAAATTTAACAGCAGCGCGCTAGATTGCAAACTTTCTCTCATAACCAGGCTGCTGACTTAATACGTACTGCTGCTGCTCGATTTCTCCTCATTGTTGCCGGAAGAGGACTCCGGACTGCTGGTCTCCTCGTGTGGCTCCTTCCCCTCAGTGTCCCGGCACGATGGCTCGTGCTCTGCCGCGGAGCTTGTTTGTTTGGTGGCCGTTGTGTTCCCTGAGTAGACGTTAGACGACGGAGCTTCCGAGGCGTTACCGTATGCTGTCTCGAAAAACTGGTCGAAGGCTTGGGGCAGCACCCCATTCCTGCCAACGTTTCCGTAGAAATTGGACGCTGCAGAGCCCGCGCCGGAGTGGTGGTGGTACGCGGCAGCTGCGGCAGAGTTGTTTTTGGCAAACATTTCCCCCATGGTGGGCTGCGAGGACAGACAGTCCCGGTGAACCATGTCCTCCGTGGTGGGGTAGCACTGGGGCAGGTTCCCCCGGTGTGTCCATTTACCAGACGCGTCAATGGCAGCATAGTCCCTGAACGTCACCTCTCTCACGGGCTGGACTTGCGGCAGGTTAGATGAGTACGAGTATGTCATGGGGCGAGTAGACGGAGTCTGGGACAAAAACGAGGGTAGACCTGAGAAGTCTGCCCCCGCCGAGACGTAGTATGTGCAACTGGGCAAATACATGTTCGAACCGACAGGGACCAGCTCGTCAAAATCCATCATTCCTTCACTCTACCACTATCTGGGTCATGCCTCTATAGCCGCCCTTAACATGGCTCTGGAGCGCCCTGGCTCGTGCCTCTTTGAAGCAGGTTCGCTAGGCAGAAATTTTGAGACGTAAGCTGACGTGGAGCGCCAACTCCATCCATTCTGGGGAGGCGTGGGTCACGTGACCAGCAGCAGCAATTGACATATTTCCCGTGCGTGCGTGTGTGTGTGTGTGAGAGAGAGAGAGAGAAAAAAAAAGAGAGAGAGAGAGAGCGAGAGAGAGAAAGAGAGGGTGTGTGTGCTATGAGAGAGGGTGTATGTGCGAGTGTGTGCACGCGCGTGCGTGCGCGAGCATCACCGAAAATGACGACTTATTCAATGAATGAGTGTGTGAGTGTGAGTGACTGAGAGACATACTGTTAGTTGTCCTGAAGCTTGACATTGGTGGTTTATCGCTATGTCGGTCTAAAATGAATTCCCTTACATGCAGCAAGTCAGAGGAAAAACTATAATTGCATTGGTTGTTAAAATGTAGGGAAGTGACATATTGCTATCGAATAATTAACCTGATTCAATATCAATTTCACAGATGCTATTCGCGTTTAGACTTTTAATCTGGGGGGGGGGGGGGGGTTACTCGTTGAATCCATGCTTCTTGTAAGCTTTATGATATTCCCGAGGGTTTGATGATGTCTTTGGAAACATTACGCATTTGAGGCGTGCCAACAATATCTGTATCCTCTAGAAGTGTAAGTACATTTCATTCAATAGTAAAATCCTAGACTAGTGAACATATTATTTCCATGTTATGTTTGATGTTTGTCACTGAGGTGTGTGGTCATAATTTACAACATTATATTATGACCGTTTGGCTTCACGGCAACATTTGTCAATCAGGGTCATGTTCAAGTAACCCTTGATGTTTGGCCCTGTCTCCCGTCAGGTGTCGGCGACGCCGCGACCAAACAGACATTTTAGGCCATGCAACACTTAGACAACACCAACAGACATAGCTCATATCGACGTTTGGTTGTTAGAATACTCCAAACCCGTACATCATCTAACTTTTGCCACCTAAAAAAAGATAGACGTTTTGTAAGCGGTTTTAAAAGTTGCCAATATTGAACAATGTTGTTTACGACAGTGGTAACCGAGGAGGCACGTGATCAATACTTCATATTCGAGCGCAGTAGGTATATAGATAGAGAGAAATGGGCATGTTGATTGTGGGTGTCTGTCTGGATGTTATAAACACCCAGCGCTAGACCAACAATAGGCTAATTGGAAATGGACGTTTGTTAAATCATAATAGGCCTATGTTAAACAAATGATAATGTGTTACTAGTTAGGTTACATAATTAGGCCTCTACTACACAATGAGTTTGTTTTCAGCTTGAACTCCATCATTTATTAATCATATACGAATATAGGTCTCACCGCCTATAAGTAACACTATTCATCCAGATTGCACAATGCGTAAAGTACCGTTTTACGCACAGATAGGCCTATTTCTAGATGGAATGTGGAAATAGAAATCTATTTCTATGACCTACAAGACATTGTGAACTACAATGCAATTCAGTTTTACAGTCCAATTCAGTTTTAAAGACTCAGCACCCCTTCAGCGGCCCAGACAATAGTCCAAACAATAGTCCAGACAATAGTCCAGACAATATTTGAAACTACAACTATCAGCATTGTGGAATACATTGATGTTGAATCAAGAGCCGATTTGTTTTGAAAGATTTCTCCAGACATCGTCCTCCTTTAAACCCAATTTTTTTTATGGGATCCGTAGGCCTATGGGCAATAATTATTTTTGAAACCATTATTCATTCTAAAGATTATGTTGGGTAAATATGTATTTCCTTATTAGCACATGTGATGTATAGACAATCTAACCAAAGGTGGAACACTAGTCAAAAGGTTAATACTTCAACATTAAAAAAGGCTTTTTCGCTATATCTCATAATTAGGCTAAATACTTTAGCCTGCGTTTTCCTCACGAGTGCTGTACCCATTTCACATCTATTAAATAGAATAACAAACACATAGGCCTATGAATTATTAACAACCCAATAAATTGTATTGGGTTATGCAATTTACTTGCTGTATTGAAATACAAAATAACATATATTTAGATGTATCCTTTTCGAGTTTGTTTTTGGAAGATACATTTTGAATAGGCTACATGTGCTGATTCATTTTCTTTTCAATTCTGTAGTATAGTAGGCTATTATCCTCTGGACTATAAATAAGACAACTAAGATATCTGTCGCGGTGGGTTTTGTGTGTTGTGATCCGGTGGAACCTAACTCTAATGTTCCTTGAATGAGCGACCTGAGGTCGGATTAGGACCGCGGGGACTCCCCCATGGCCACGCCGCGCTTTACCCAAATCCACCCGGACTACCCTCCACACACTGAGCTTCAGGACCCGCCAGCGTGACACGTACTGTAATATGACCTCGAAAACATAACATGTACTAAGAAACGGTAAGTAGGCTATGAGCAAAAATAAATAAATAAATAGAAGCATTAGAATATATCGGGTCATCCGTTCATGCATCGTCATGTTGATAGGCCTCCTATTGAAATGATTGCGGGGACACAAACAAACCCTGTGCCTTCTCGACCACACGCTCCGCCTCTTCGTCAATCCAGACAAATTCTACGATTTGAGCTAGAGCTTTTAAGCCGTAATTGAGCACAGGGTGCCCAGGAAAACCAAAGGCACAGACCTGAGTTTTTATAGCTCCTATAGTATTCTACAGCGGGTTTTTTTCTCAGCCAGACCCCATCAAACCGACCAGGCGTGATAGGAAGTCGCCACCTACACGGACAAAGTCAGGAGCCGAAGCCGTCCAGCGACATAAAAAAAACTAGACATTCTAAAACTTAACAAAGACAGGTAAGATTCATACTTACTCTTATAAAAAATGCATGAGCTACAAAAACGTTTTTTCTACATAAACTATTTGTCTATACTGACCCAAAAGTTTTAAATAATTGGCTAAAGTTAGAAACAAGTAAAGTTTCAACATGTAAACAGTTTTTATGTTCGAGGAAGACGCTTCATAACACACTTGATTCATGTCGACCCTACGACATCTCTCTTAAATTCTTGTGGGTTTTCTTCTGTGGCCAAAAAACGAGACGACATCTCTGAGTAAAAGCCCCCCACGCCATAGCCTTGTCTGTGCGGTCGACTTCAAGTTCGGGGAGGGAGAGGGTCACCGCCTGTGGGGTAGGCCCTTATAGTAGACTTCAGGCGCCATTTAAGGGCACAGTATGCCCCGGATGAAGTTTCCCTGATTACAAATTCATTTTCAGCTTCTGGCAGCAACTCTGTGGGTTAAGGAAAAGAGAAGGTGGCTTTAGGTTACAAGACAGATTGATTTCTGCATGTGTGAAGTGATGTCTAAAAATGAACTTAACCTTCGTGGACTGCTTTCTAGACTTTGGAATAGCAGATTTGTTAGTGTAGTTTTAATTTGAGCCCTAGACACCAGTAACCTTACACTGATATTACATCAGAGAACTGTAATGATCAAGAACCCATGGATTATAGTCCTCTCCATTTGGTACATTAAACAATGAACTTTACGCATAGTAAAATAGTCCCCTGTAGCTCAGTTGGGAGAGCATGGCGCTTGCAACGCCAGGGTTGTGGGTTCGTTTCCCACGGGGGGCCAGTATGAAAATATATGCACTCACTAACTGTAAGTCGCTCTGTATAAGAGCGTCTGCTAAATGACTAAAATGTTCACTTCACTACATCTGTTCTCAACAAAGGGATGCAAATAGGAATTGATATAGTCCCACTGATGGTAATAAAGGCGATAGGACTGCCACATTAAGGATAAATAAAGATGAAAGTCCAACACTAACTCGTCAGACATATCCAAGTCAATAAGTAGTTATGGTATATTGGTTGGTGACAAATAGGCACACATGGCACAAGGATTTCTTACATGACGAAACAATTCAATCTTTGCTGTCCGGGGATGTCCTTCAATTTTCCATTGTTTCTTTCTTTGTTCTTCAATTACCTTTAGACTTACTACTAAAGCCCAAGGATTATTGATACACCAAAATTAATTAACTGTAGTTGTTGACTCAAGTACGATTTTACCATTCAGAAAGTGGTGTGTACCATTTATTATTGGTGTGTACCATGTTTTGTGTACCGTTTATTTGTTCAGCCTAAAGCCAATGAATTGGAAACAAAATGGCGTAGGCCTAGGCTACTTAAATTAACCTTGCACTTTGGCGTAAAGTCTATTGTTTTCTAAAGAAAAACGTGGGGATGTCTTATACATCTTCAACTGAAGGATTATTTACATGTTCAACGTAAACATCGAATACGCTACCAATGGGGCTATATAGGCCTATAGCATAGCAACCCATTTCGACGTTACAATAACATTAATTCTAACCCCAAGCCAGAAGAAAGAATTAGGCCTGCTGTAATAATATGCCATTTAGCAGACGCTTTTATCCAAAGTGACTTACAGTCATGTGTGCATACATTTTAACGTATGGGTGGTCCCGGGGATCGAACCCACTACCCTGGCGTTACAAGCGCCATGCTCTACCAATTGAGCTACAGAGGACCACAAAACGTCCAATATACAAAATAAAAAAATGTCGAATAATGTTCAATAAACATTATTCTAATCTAACTAAAGCGTGTGTATTGCACGAAAAGTCGTGATGCTAAATTGCAGAGGCTTATACTCAATTACGCACAGCCTCAACACAAAACGAATCGCCTTTACAATTAATGAGAATGCTCTGCATTTCCACACAAAACACGTGGTACGATTTTACCATTCAGAAAGTGGTGTGTACTCTTTATTATTGGTGTATGCCATGTTTTGTGTACCGTGTATTTGTTCAGCCTAAAGCCAATGAATGTGAAACAAAATGGCGTAGGCTACTTAAATTAACCTTGCACTGTTCAACTTAAACATCGAATACGCTACCAATGGGGCTAAATAAGCCGGTAGCATAGCAACCCATTTCCACGTTACAATAACATTAATTATAACCCCAAGCAAGAAGAAAGGATTAGGCCTGCTGT